AATCGTGATGTTTAAAATGAACATGCTGATTTTCATAACAGGTTTCTTTTGGAGAATGGAGAGTCCAGAATACACAAACATACTACAATGTTTGGCTAAAAACTTATTTTTAAGTCATTCTCCAGTTACTCTGAGGCAGCATTGTCCATGAACTGGAACTGGTTAATAGTGGTGGTTCATCTCTTATTGGCCTTGCTTCTCCCTGTTTTGGTGACAGTTTTCAAATTAGAATAAACCAGCGTGGGGCTGGGGGTGTGGCCCAGTGGTGGTATGCATGTGAGGTCCTGGGTTCCTTCCCCAGCACCCCATAAATAAATATATAAAATAAGCCAGGTCGTTCCACTTTCAGATATAGTTTGAAATGGTTAAAGAGCTCTCTTGTGCTCACAATATATAATTCTAAAAATGAAAGCTACTTACAACTTGAGTTTCCAACAACATGGTTATACTGTTTTTTTTTCCAAACTGCTTTTCTTAATGAATTGCTGGTTGCACAGCCATCATGCCAATTAGACTGTGCAAAGAAAGTGAAGTGGCAAAGGTAAAGTGTCCTTAAACCCCCTTCTGGATTCGTGACTTCCTTCCAGATAGAGTTCGACCAGGAGGCAGGGAGGGCGGGGCCCTAGAGCCTTCAATCTGTCACCCAGGGTGGGCTGGAAGAAAACCCAAGGGTGGGCTCCAAACCCCCTGGGGATCTGTTGCAGCATGTCTGCCAAAGCTTAGAGGTTGCAGCCTTGTGTTTGACAGGCTAGAGTTGCTGATTAATGTCACGGTGTGTCATTGCAGAAGATGTTCAATTTATGATCCCCAAATATTTAACTGGGAACGTCTGTTGCTATGAGACAGTGGCAAAATATTTTCAAAGTCACCAGCTTCCTTCTTTTGTCAAGAGCAGAAACATCTTCGTGGCTAATCTTGCTACGAACATGGAGTAAGTTGAGTAGCTGGTGTGAGCCAGAGGGAAGGAAAGAGTCAAGTTCACGGTCTGAGTGAACTTCATTGATGTCTGCCTTAAGCTGTCTTCCATGCTTGCTGCTTTAATAAGATGATCCTGGGCTCAGTTGACAGTTGTTCTCAGTCGTTCTTTTGCAAAGATGCAATAGTTCCACCCTAAGTTCTAGGTCCAAGGCTAGCCCTGAGTTGGGCTAGCCCTAGGGTGTCCTTCCTCTGTCTGTGTTGGCATCTGGCCAGGCTGCTCCCTGCTGAGTTGGGTGGGAGGGGTGGCCGGAGGCCACAAGAGGGCTGGCAAGCATGGAGCAGATGTCTACTCAGGCCACTCTAAGTAGCCACAGCGCTGCTGTGCCAAGTGGGCCACAGAAGAAGATAGGTGGGGCCAGGTCTGAATTGTGACCAGTTTCGGGTGGCCATTCTGCTCTCTGGAAACTTCATGTTTTCATTTGGAAGTAAAAACTCAAGATTCTTATGCATCTGGTCATGTCTGTCTCATGTACACACATCTGACCATGCATGGGTGGCCACTTGCCAACTCGGTGCTCATCCTCGCTGATGGCAGATGGTCTGCCTTTTCGTAGTCATGTCACAGATTAACCAGGCCTGTTACTAGACACCCATCAACTGATGTGCTTTACTGTTAGAAACTGCTCCTCAGTAAATACTTGTATCTATGTCATTTTGCAATTGCAGCCCTGTCTATCTAGAAACACAGACATCTAACTGCCCAGTCTACCAGGACTGACTCTAATAGATGTCGCTCAGTAGTCTTAAAGGCTGTTTCTGCATACCTCTGGCACCTCCCAGTTAACAAGCTGTTTTATCTCTGTCAATTTTTTAGGGGAAAAATAGAATCTCTGTGGGGTTTTTTTCTTTTTTTTGGGACAGGATCTTATAGTTGTAGCCCAGTCTGGCCTTGACCTTGGGATCCTACTGTCTCAGCCTCGTGAGTGCTGGGATTGCAGGTGTGCGTTTTCACACCTGTAACATCTCCTCACTTTAACTTGTATTTTCCTTTGAGAAAGGCTAAGCATTTGTTATTTTCAGTGTTACTCATTTGAACTCCCTTTATTATGAACTTCGTGCTTCTGTCCTTTGCTGGTTTTCCTTATGGCTGGCTGCTATGGATTTTCTTTGATTTGTAGGACTTTTTTGTTGTTGTTTTTGGTGGGGCCAGTGTTTGAACTCAGGGCTTCACCCTTACAAGGCAGGCACTCTGCTGCTTGAACCATCCTCCAGTCCATTTTGTTCTGGTTGTTTTGGAGATGGAAGGGGGGGTCTCATGAACTATTGGCCTGGGCTGGCCTTGAACCACAATCCTCCTGATCTCAGCCTCCCAAGTAGCTGTGATTACAGGTGTGAGCCACCAGTGTCCAGCACGACTTCTTTATACACCCAGGAAGGTCTCCCTTTGTGTGTGATGGGACTTATTAACAGTTCAATATATTTTAAACTTACCACTCCATGGGACACCTACAGCCAGTACCCGTAGCCCTGGCACAACCGTAGCTGTTGTGCACCAGGGCTGCGGCCAGCCAACCTCCTGGCCTGGGACTCGACAAGTGGAAGACCCTCTTGGGAGCTGGTGCAGCACTGGCGGCTCTACAGGCAGCGGGGGCTCCCTGGCCTCCCACCTTAATGCCCCTCCCCCATGGGCGTGCACAGCCCGGCATGTTCCTGCCCACCTGGGCTCCAGATGCTGCCTGGGAGCTGTGGTCTCCAGCTGGTGTAGACAAAGGGGAAGTCGTCTTTGGAGTAAGTGGGGAGAAGTCGGGAATGCAGTGCCTATGTTTACTGCTTGTGTAAGCTAAACCAGTGGCCTAAAAGCGTTAACAAAAATTCTTGAAAACATTTCATTAGAATCTAAGGGAAAAGTTGTATTAGGGCTAATCTTTCAGTTTTCCCAATTCTTTATAAGTATATTGGAATAAACCACCTTAAAGTGAAAGCATGGGAGCCTATTTGGTACCTCTTGTTGGTGGACTTTCTGATGCAAGAAAACAACGACTGATGTAAAATTATGTGACTCGCTTTGCAGTTTGGGTTCTTCCCAGTTTTGCTTTCTACAAATGTGAGTTGTTGGCTGATAGATGGTTACATACACTTTTGTGTATCTAAACATATACATACATTTATACATATATCCATATATATACACACACATATATGGACAAGACTTTTCAGTATTTGTATCTATAAAAACAAAAAGGGGAATAGAACTGATTGCAAACCTTGTCCCATTCTGACAATATCTAACATCCACCCTTGGATAAATTAACTTAGTGGAAAAAATACATAGCTAGCATATTTTAAACACTTTGTAATCATAGGAACTTAAAAACAATGAATTTCAGCTGGGTGCTGGTGGCTCACTCCTGTAATCCTAGCTAATCAGGAGGCAAAGATGAGGAGGATCAAGTTTCAAGGCCAGCCCAGGCAAATGGTTCACCAGACCCTATCTCGAAAAAACCCAACATTAACAAGGGCTGGTGTTGTGGCTCAAGTGGTAGAGCACCTGCCTAGCAAGCAGGAAGCCCTGAGTTCAGACTCTAGTACCACCACCAAAAAAAAAAAAAAAAACCCAAAACAATTAATTTCCACTTAGTGAATTTATTTCTGATTTTTATAGAGATCCTACTGGATACATGTAACAGAATATAAGGTTTTTGTTCGTTTGCGGTACTTCATGCTTGCTAGGCTGATGTTCTTCCACTTTAGCCATACCCCCAGCCCTTTTTGCTTTACCTTATTTTTCAGGTCAGGTCTTCTGCTTATGTCACAGCCCCAGTCTTCCTCCCTTCGCCTCCTATAGAGCTGGTGGCACATGTGCACCCCCACATCCAGCTCATCCCCAACCACCGTTTTTGTTTTGGTTAGTTTTGTTTTGAGATAGGGCCGCATTTCACTACTTCTGCCTGGGCTGGCCACATCGCCCACTCACCTCAGAGTTTGTTTTTAGAAAGGGATAATTTATAGAACCCCCCCCCAGAAATAAAATCATTTGCAATTCTTTGAATTTATGAAGAAAAGTAAAATTGAATAAAAGGTATGTAATTAAAACAATTTTTTTTTCAGAGCCAGGCTGTGCAAAGGCCATTTCATCAGAGGAAATTTACAGTGCTTAGAAAAACAAAACTAAAATAGCTCCTCCCAGGCCTCCTTACCAGTTGTTTTGAAGTGTGTTCCTCCATATAAACACACAGGCCTGGGTTATTTTTACAGCTGGGGAGAAATGCCTTTTATAATGGTAGAACTTCAATCTTATAATGAAATAAATTGAAAAGTAGGAGTTTAAGAGCCAATTTTTCAGATTCAAAATTTCTTCTGTAAGGTAAGGTATAAATAAACCAGCCCAGCAAAACGTGCCTCTGTAGAAACAGACTGACGAGGTCTCTTTCTAGTTACTTGAACACAAAAACTTGAACATCTTATGTTCCTTTCCACAAATGGCCTGGGAATGACTTGAGAGCCTTAGTCACTTCTGTGTGAATATTTAAAGGTGTAAAAGAAATAGTTTGTTCTTAGAAAAATTTAAAGCAGTAATTCTGGATGATGAGCAAAGGCTCCATTAATACAAAAAGTATTACTATTTTGAAAAGAAAATATTTGTACATGGTACAGGTTGAGTATCCCTTATCCAAAAATCCTTGGGAGTGAAGTGTTTTGGATTTCACATGCTTATGGATTTTGGAATATTTGCCTATACATATCGAGCTGTCTTTGGGATGAGATGGTAAGCATGGGTTCATGAAGGTGGTTTTATATGGTATTTTTAGTGTGCTTGCGTATTAACTCTGATCTGTCATGACGTCAGGTGTGGAAATTTCCACTTCTGTCTGCTCTTTTTTCTTTCTCTCTCTCTTCTCTCTCTCTCTCTCTCTCTCCCTCTCCTCTCTCTCTCTCGCTCTCTCCGTTCTTTCTTTCTGTGGGTGCTGGAGGCAGGTCCCGGTCCCTGCCTGCTGTCCCCCGGGAAGTTTTGTCCTCCCCCATCGAGGCGCTGCACGGGCGCCCGCGGGCCCCGCTGAGCCTCGGCCTTGGCTGTCTTGCAGGACAGACGGGCGCCGGGAACAACTGGGCCAAAGGCCACTACACGGAGGGCGCGGAGCTGGTGGACGCGGTGCTGGACGTGGTGCGCAAGGAGTGCGAGCACTGCGACTGCCTGCAGGGCTTCCAGCTCACGCACTCGCTGGGCGGCGGCACGGGCTCGGGCATGGGCACCCTGCTCATCAGCAAGATCCGCGAGGAGTTCCCGGACAGGATCATGAACACCTTCAGCGTCATGCCGTCGCCCAAGGTGTCGGACACCGTGGTGGAGCCCTACAACGCCACCCTGTCTGTGCACCAGCTGGTGGAGAACACGGACGAGACCTACTGCATCGACAACGAGGCGCTGTACGACATCTGCTTCCGCACGCTCAAGCTGACCACGCCCACCTACGGGGACCTCAACCACCTGGTGTCGGCCACCATGAGCGGGGTCACCACTTCGCTGCGCTTCCCGGGCCAGCTGAACGCGGACCTGCGCAAGCTGGCGGTGAACATGGTGCCCTTCCCGCGCCTGCACTTCTTCATGCCCGGCTTCGCGCCGCTCACGGCCCGCGGCAGCCAGCAGTACCGCGCCCTGACGGTGCCCGAGCTCACGCAGCAGATGTTCGACGCCAAGAATATGATGGCCGCCTGCGACCCGCGCCACGGCCGCTACCTGACGGTGGCCACCGTCTTCCGCGGCCCCATGTCCATGAAGGAGGTGGACGAGCAGATGCTGGCCATCCAGAACAAGAACAGCAGCTACTTCGTGGAGTGGATCCCCAACAACGTAAAAGTGGCAGTGTGCGACATCCCGCCGCGCGGCCTCAAGATGGCCTCCACCTTCATCGGCAACAGCACGGCCATCCAGGAGCTGTTCAAGCGCATCTCGGAGCAGTTCTCCGCCATGTTCCGCCGCAAGGCCTTCCTGCACTGGTTCACCGGCGAGGGCATGGACGAGATGGAGTTCACGGAGGCCGAGAGCAACATGAACGACCTGGTGTCCGAGTACCAGCAGTACCAGGATGCCACGGTCAACGACGGGGAAGAGGCCTTTGAAGACGACGAGGAGGAGATCGAGTAGGGGTTTCCCTGTGCAGACACTAACACGCACCTGTTCTTCCTTTAGTCCCGACAGGGCAGAGTGGCGCACGGTTTAAGTGTGGCCATCTGAAGAAAGCGCTTACCTTAGCAGAGAACTGGCAGTCCAGTCCTACCCGATCAGACCCCAGGGAGGTTTGCACGGAGGACTAGGAAGCGGTAACTAGGGGGCCTCACAGGGCTAAAGAAAGAATACCTTACTTTCCACTGTGTTCAGCCAGCTCTGGTTAGCCGCGAGTTAGCAACAGGTATTTTTCATCCTTGGCAATGAAAACGGGAAGCCAGTGCAGTGTTGCCTTATTTGAATATGCAATGTGGAACTTTGAGAATCTATTCATAATAAAATGTTAAATGTGTTACTTTTACTTTGTCACTTCCAGCCTGTGCTTTCTTGGCATATAATTTACTTTGTCTAGTTACAGTAGCCAGGAAAGTCACTGGCCTCCCCAGGTTAAATTGCACCCACAGCTCACTAAAGGAATGGAGGAGGGCGTTTTTTAAACTGCAAGCTTTAAGGTGGCAGCCACGTTTTTTCCTGAGCTTGGAAGTGGTACAGCATAAATAAAAGGCCTCTCTGTCCATTTGCTTACTTTTGCAGTGCTGGGGATCGAATCCTGGGCCTCACCTGAGCCATACCCCAGGTCCCTCTTCTGCCCATTTGCAGTGACCATTTAGTCCCAGTTAGGTTCTGGGGGGCAGGTCCCCAACCCTGCCAGAGGAGCCACAGGAAGTGTGGTTCAGCCTTCCAGACAAAGCTGGGGGCACTGCTCCTGTCTTTCCCTGGCACTGAGGCTATGGGGTGGGGACTGGAGCCAGGCCCATCTTGGAAAATGAAGGGCTCTTTTCTGCCATGGAGCCATCCCCAACTTGGTGGTTTCCACACCCAGCCACAGCTTCTGTCCAAGGTTTTTTTTTTTTTTTTTTTTAGTACTGGGACTTGAACTCAGGGCCTACACCTTAAGCCACTCCACCAGCCCCTTTTTTGTGATTTTTTTTGAGATAGGATCTCGTGGACTCTTTGTCCGCAGCTGGCTTTGAACTGTGATCCTCCTGATCTCTGCCTCCTGAGTAGCTAGGATTACAGGTGTGAGCCACTGGGGCCTGACATAATGTCTTTTAAAGCCACACTCCACAAATGTGACCAAGTTGGCTTTACTAGTAATAGGTGTACAGCTTGCTATTCATGGCTTTCTGGTTCCCTCCTTCCAACCCTGGAAGTAGACTGTTCAGTGTGGTCTTTGCTTTTGCTTTGGGAACAAGCATGGCACATGGTGGAAGTGTTCCATGCCAGCGCTCACCTGCCTGCTCTGCCTCCCTCTTGGGCAATCCATCCCCTCCCATTTGTCCACCTATGTCTGGAAGCAACCATGCCAAGCAAAGCCCTCTGACCTCTGCTAGGGAGACAAACAAAGCTTTGTCACTGCAGCCACCAAGCTGTCAGGCTGCCCACGGCATAACCAGAAAGCCCAGGTGCCCAGACCCCAGTCCTCACGTTCAGTGACTACTTTGTTAAGCCCCAGCTTCAGGCACATGGAAAGTTCATCACTAAACACAGCAGCGTGACATGAGGTGAGCACAGTTACCACTTTGCAGCTCACCACCCACATCTATCCTGGACATAACACCATCTGATCTTTGAGGAGAGAACAGGAGTCAAGTTTGAGCCCACTGTGGGTCAGGCTGCAGCTAGCACCACACGGGTAACACACACACACCCACCCACACACACACACACACACCACACACACACCCACACCCCTAGCACCACACGGGTAACACACACACACACACTAGCACCACACACACACACACACACACACACACACACCCCTAGCACCACACGGGTAACACACACACACACACTCTCTCTCTCTCTCTCTCTCACTCACTCTCTCTCTCTCTCCAGACAGGACACCTGTGGGGGACTGAGTAGCTTTCACAGGCCATGGGCCACACTGGCCAGCAAAGGCCAAGCCTTTGTATAGCTTTCCTCGCTAGAAACAGGGTGAGACAGCTTTGTCACTCTAAGTAAAGCCTGATGCACAGGGGGCACCAGTCAACCATCCCCATGAGGCCTCCCAGCCAAGGCTGGGCAGGACCTGATACCTGCAGCTGGCACCCTTCCTTGGAGTGGTGCTGGGACAGTTGGGAACTGCCATGGGAAGGCAGAGGGCAGGTGAACTCCTGCAGCTTAAGTACCTGACCTCCTCTTGAGCACCTGAAGTCTTCAGGCAAGATGAGGATTGCTCACCTTAGCAAGCTCCTTGTCCCGGGAGCAGCCTGGCCTCTGGTCAAGCACTGGCTCCCTTCCTTCTGCTCACCAGCCAAAGTCCCATTAAAGCCTTGCTGTATTCCCCACACTCGGCTCTCACTTCTGCTTGTGTCAAAAGACCCCAGGTCTCCTGTAACAGTTCTAGTGCTTGTGTGGAGAAAAGCACACTAAATACCCTTAGAACTAAGTGGATCTCATAGCCTTAAAACAATTCTCCATTGAACTACTTCCCAAATACATCCAATAAGGAAATGAGGAGGAAAACGCATTCCTTCTACAAGTGATGAGACTTGATGCAGGTGAGAATGAGCAGGGGCCTCCTGCGTTCCTTTTGTGGGGTCCACACAGGTTATTCTATGACCCACCAGAGGTACCCTTAGGCATCTCTAGGATGCTTGGAAGAACAGTTATAGGATGGAAGTTGCCCAGCCTGGGCTTACCTCCACCTTCATTACGCCACTGGATTCGGTCTCAAATCCATAAAGGAAGTTCTCACATCAATAACACACAAGGCAAGATGGAATAACATTAAAGGAGGCAGCTGAAAAGTATTTAAGAATGCGGAAATGTTTGGTACCTCCTAGTCCAAGTAATGACACTTCAGAGGCTTAGTCAATGTTTCTCAAGCCATCTTTTTGTTGGAGTTTTTATCTAGGTTTGTCTGGAACCACATACTGAGAACTCTCTTCTGACAGAGATGAGTTGTTTCCATTCAGACCACCTAAGGCGCCACAGTGGATCCAGATACAGAAGTTTAAGTGATGGCTCAGTCAGTTGTGGTTACACACCAATCTCCAGATCCAGATGTTGTGACCTCCCTTGGTAAGCTCACTAAGGACCTAACTGATGTGACAATCACAGATTCTCTCTGTGACTGACTGGAGCCAACACGCTCCATTCCAGGACATACAAATCTAGATCGTTCTAACTCTGACAGCTGATAAGAACCTGCAGGACTGAGATTTTCAAGAAGTACCCTCCAAAAAGAAATAACAATTTGTCATGTTTTCTAAAAGTAAACAGAGCATGAAGTGACCCTTGTGTTCAGGAAAAAAAGTACACTGCTTACCTTTTATTTTTGATGTAAAGAAGCCATATTTACACAATACATTCATATTTTTAAGTATGTTACAGTTCTCTGTAGAAAACTATTCCATTAAAACAGCAACAAGTGATCTGGGTTCAATCTTTAAAATATTAGGTTGGATCAAAATATTATCAGATCTCCAATCGAATTTCACAGCCCATCTGCAGACAAAAACTGAAGAAAAGTAGGAATGAAGAGTGGGTGATGAAAAGAGAAAAATACCCTTCCTTCACATCTTCATGACTCCACAGAAGAACCATCCCCACCAAGTTCCCAGCTGGTGTCCAGGGATGGGCCTTGGAGGGTAGTGCTGGTTGGACCAGCCACTGTCTTCCAGGACCAGGGGTGGTGGGAGTCTCCTTTGGGGTCCTGGGTAGCTGCCTGCCAACCTTGCCGACATCTGAGGCCAAGCAGAGGCCTTGTTTCACAGTCTGGCTGTGTTAGCAGCTGACTTAATCCACTTAGCAGGGCTGTCATTCTTCAGAAAGCCAAAGCTGAACCAATGTGCAAATCAGAACCACAGGAAGACAAACTAAAATGGCCTCCATCCTTGGATGTGGGTGGCAACTTTCTCGCCTGGTGACTCCTCTTTCTCCTTTTCCCGCTCTTTGTTCCAGTCCTTCAGGCCTTCTGGAAGCGAGGTGTCCTCATCCAAGCTGCCAGTGCCTTCCACGAATTCTTCATAGGTAGATTTTTCTGCAAATGGTCTGGGGCCCAGAAGTTCTACCATATCATTCTTATCTAATACTTCTTTTTCTAACAATAGAAGAGCCACCTGAAATACAATTTCCATAAATACAGTTACTTAGAAAAGTCTATTCAACAATGTTTTAATTTATAACTGACCTCATTCCAAAAAAAAAAAAATCTAATTGAAAAAAAGATGTCTCATAAATAAGGTCATGTAATTTTAGAGTGAGATGTGCAGAATACTGGAAATAACAAATGTTCCTGGTAAGCAAGTAAGTATTCACATTTTGGTACATCTATACAATAATAAAGAATGAGGAGGCACTCTTTATTCTACATGCATCTCAGATGTACATATTTCAATTAAAAAAGGAAAACCCACAATGTGTGAGGTAGGCTACGGTTGCTTTTAAAAGGAAGAATAATTCTGTGTTCAGGAGGCCATTCGCTTGGTTGGGGTTTTCCATCTGGAACCCTTACACAAGGCAAACCAAAATTTACTTAGTGGCATTCCTTATAACTAATATTGAATGGAGCTTCAGCCAATCATAGGCAGCCAAACAATCCATTGGTACAGGTGTTCCATCATACCATACCCAATGTAGGTAAGGCCCAAGCAGCAGTTGCCAATCAAGCGACTTCAATGCTCTGCAGCTATAGCCAGGGCCTTTAAATCTCTTCCAGTGCAGAGTGTTGCCTGATTCATGAATCAGTTTTTTGTTTTGTTTTTGTTCAATAAACTTAAATTCTTTGTTTTTTTCTTTCTTGTGTCTAGCCCTTTTAACTGTTAAATAAATTCTCCAAGGACATATGGCAAGTAATCCAGTCAGGTGTGGTGGCTGATGTTTGCCATCCCAGCACTTGGGAGGCAGAGGGCTCCATAGCAAGACTCTGTCCCCCCAAAAGCAAAACAAAACAAAGACTTGGTTTACACAGGGGGCAGGCTGGGGGGAAAAGAAGGGAACTAGGAGAGAACAGAAAAGTAGCAGAAAAAACAAAGACTAACAAAAGGGCAGATATACAAAATGAAGCCAGGAAATATAATATGAAAATATGTATCCTGAAGTTCCACTCATTTGCTACGGATGAACCACAAATTTAACATTTCATATCTTAAAAACTTGACATTACACTACACATCTTAAAGACCAATTCTGAGCACGAGGCGAGTGACAGCACCAGAAGAGCAGGACACAGTGTTTATGTGAAATCATAGGCCCATTATAAAGAAAAGTAAGCAGTTTCAATTAGAAACTGATCTCTTTCTGATAACTCCCTACCTAGTTTAATCTATCTGTAGCTATAGTAAATGTTATGCTTTTAAAGATATAAAATATTGAAATAATCTTGTAATTTTGAAAATTGATTGTGGAATAGTTCAAATAGTTATAAAAGTAAGAAAGGATGGGTAACATAGGCCAGAAGGCACTCCAGAATTCTGGATGGTGTTTTAGGTCCCCACATGTTAAACCAATATTCCTTTCAATACACCCTTCTTCATTACCATTGTCAATACATGCACTGCAAGTATGGAAGGGTAAAATATCTGGGCTAAACTTCCTAGACCTGCCTGAGCATTCACCACTGACAATGGACTCCTTACTCTTCCATCACTGCAGATGTGCCCTGCCTCACAGAGGTGGTGAGCTCTCTGCTTCCCACCGTCTTTATAACAGCTGCTGCTGTAGGCCTTGACTCCTACCTATATTCTGTTCATAAATGTTTACTCTACCGCTTCCATTTTCTTGGGCATCAAGACTGAGCCCTTCCTTACCACCTCTCCTCCCACCCTAGTCTGCACTTGCTGCTAGGCTGCCTTGTGCTATTCCAGGACTGTCTTCTGTTCCTCGTTCTGGTAAATCTCTTCATAAATCCTGGTTCTACAGGTCTGGCTTTGTATTTCTGCTGCTACCACCAGCACCATCTGTGGAAAGACACAGTGTGCCTGCAGCTGCCACTGGCTAGCTCTTCTAGTCTTTCCGCCCCAATCTAGCTGACACATTGCACTCTCTCTCCTTTTAAATGATGAATTTTTATCTTTTTCTGAGGAGCTGGGGATTAAACCCAGGGCCTCACACATTGTAGGCAAGCACTCCACTACTGAGCTATACCCCTTATCTAAATGATGAACTTTTAATCATACTTGCTCAAAATTCTTTTAAGGACTCCTGGTGGAGTGGCTCAAGTGTTAGCACACCAGCCTAGCAAATGTTAAATCCTGAGTTCAAATCCCAGCACCCCCCACCCCCCTGCAAAAAAAAATTCTTTAAGGACTCCTATAAAACAAGGTGGCTGAGTCAGGCACCTTGCCTATTATCCCAGCACTGGAGAGGCTGAGGCAGGAGGATCACAAGTTCAAGGCCAGCCTGGGCAATATAAAGAAACCCTGTCTCATACACACACACAAAAATTTCCCAAAGGAAAAAAATAAAACAAAACAAGAGAGCAGGGTTTCATCATTTTTAAGGTCATTTCTATTTCTACAGTTGTTTCTCAGTTTTCTACCTACTGTGGAAGGCCTTGGGTCTCTGATAGCACTGCACAGGTCCAGGCCAGCCCTTCCAGGCATGTGTTCCTCTTGCCTGCTGTTTCTCCATCAATTACTCCTCAGGATGTAGTTCGTGCCTGGCCTTGACAGAACCTTCTTGGGTCACTCTGCCCTCTTCTTTCTTGAGAGCCCCTGCTGCACACACCCCATGTTTTGTGGAAGCTCTCTCTTCACTTACACTGCACACTTTACGGCACATGCCATGGTTTCTTCTGGAATTGCCAGGCACAGGACAGGCTTGTAGCTAGCTGGCTTCTCTGAAGACTTGCTGACTGAGCAGTGTATCTTGAAATATGCTTTTATTTGTGTTACTCTCTTATAAAAGGCTTTTTTCCAGCTGTATTTTTATCACAAGTGTAGCATGATCAAAGAACAAAAAAAAAAAATTCTAATTTTTGTTGCATGGATTCTGAATAATTAAGAGGTTACATACAGGGGCATAGTGGCTCCCACCTGCAATCCCAGCTACTCAGGAGGCAGAGAATGGGAGGATCAAAATTTGAGGTCAGTCCAGGGAGGAAAAGCCAGCAAGACCCATCTTAACCAGTAACTCAGGGGTGGTGGTATGTGTCTGTGAACCCAGCTACAGAGAGGTAGAAGCAGGAGGACTGCAATCTGAGATGAGCCCTGGCAAAAATCTGAGGCCCTATCCTAAAAATGGCTAACTAAGAGTGAAAAAGGGCTGAGGGCATGACTCAAGTGGTAGAGCACCTGCCTAGCAAGTGAGAGGCTGAGTTCAAACCCCAGTATCACCAAGAGAGACAGAGAGACAAAAAGAGAAAGGAGGTTACTTAACGCAAGTAACCCACGAGTTCAGAGAGGGTCCCTCTGAGGGTGCTATGAAAATGAGGTACAGCAATGAAAAAGCATGAAGCATATTCACTTTTGGAAGTTCACAACTAAGGCCAAGAGTAACTTTTGTGAGCCATTTCCTAATCACCTAGTGCAGCTAGTTCTTTTTTGTCTTTTATCCTGAGTACCTTTTTATTCACAGATAAAAAGCAATGGCAAATCTCAATGAGGCAACTGTACTTCATGTTGGGAAGTTTTACCGATGTATCTGTGGGACAGTGCAGGCTGAACTGTTTATTTCCGGTTACTTACAGACTTCATTATCTTTGGGTCACCTCCCCACAAGGTCTAGAATAGTGCCTGTTTCTGCTTTCCACCATGTTGCCATGGCCTCTTGGAGACAGAGTAGATACTCAACGGCTGAGTTGGAGCACAAGAGGTGGCCAGAGGGAGGGAATTCTCAAGTCTAGACACCAACTAAACAGTCATCTGTCAAGTTAATGTAATTTTTGGAAAGTTGCAGAGAAGTATTTATACAAGTGCCACCTACCTTCTCCACGTCAGCTTTCTTTTCTGTGAGAAGGGCTACGGTTCTCATATACGCATCATTGATAAGTATTCGCACTTCATCATCGATCAGCCGTGCAGTGGCCTCGCTGTAAGGCTTCTCTAATACCATGTCCCCCTGGCGTGGGAGGTCGAAGGAGATTTGCCCAACCTTTTCATTCATGCCGAACTGAACAATCTGGAAGAGAATATATGACTAGTAGTGATGACACAGGATGACTCTCTAACCTGGCAGATCTGCACAGCCTGCAGTTGGCAAAGTGGACAAGGACACTCTGCAAGGACAGTGGCAGCAGTGGCACTGTGCTTGAAACTCCTCAAGTACGAGCATAAAACCAGAAACCCACAGACAACACTTATGATAAAATGAGAGGACAAATGCCAATGGCTCTGAGGCCTGCATGTTGTTACTGCCTGAGGCAAACAGGAGAAGCAGGAAGCACTTGATAGACCAAAAGGATACAAACCCCAAACTGTCAACAAATGCTCCCTGGGAAGAGTCACAGGTCAATCTTACAACAGATGACACGGAGGGGCATTTGCATTTTCCCACTCACTGAGTCCATGAGGCCAAGAAACAGTGTGAGGAAGTCACACACTGTGACTCATACTAGGCCCCAAAGTAGCTAGCACCATGTGAGGAAAAAGCCTCTGCAAGTAAAATCACTAGAATGTGATTCACTGGAAATAAAATGACTAAAGAAGAGAAGGCCCAGATAAAAGTGGGAAGCAAAAACAGAGGAAGGAGAGCATGGAAAGTAGGACAGCTTGGGTTTTACCACTACAGGCAAACACAGGAGGGAACCCTAAAGCCATGTCCTCATCCTTCTCCCTCCTGATAGCAGGAAGACAAACTACATGTAAAAATAGGCAACAGAAAGACATCTTATGAAGTTACGAAAAAAAGAAATAAAATTCAGAATAATGTCTCCACACACAAGAAAAGAAGGATAGAAAGACAAATATACGACTCAGAGGAAACCTATCACCTACTGTTCCAGAAACAAGAAATCAGGGAAGTGCAGAAAATATGAAAGAACAACATAAATCCGAACTAGAAAGACTCAGATGATGTGCTTGACTGCAGGAAAAAATTACATGCAGGAAAAAAGTTATTTTTAAGATGAAGATTAACTGCTGAGGCGGCAGAGGTTGGACGGACTACAGTTTAAGGCCAGTTTAGGCAAAAAGTTATCAAGATTACATTTTAACAAATAAGCTGGGCATGGTGCCTGTCTGTAGTCCTAGCTCCACACAAGGCATAGGTAGGAGGAGATCACCTAACCTGGGCAAAAAGCAAGACACTATTTAAAAAATAACCTAAAGCAAAAATAGTTGGACAAGGTTCAAGTGGCAAAGTGCTTGCTTAGCAAGTGCAAGGCCTTGAGTTCAAACTCCAGTACCACCAAGAAAAGATTAAGCTAGACAGAAATGAATGAATAATCCTAACAAAAAATGTCCTAAAAGAAAACAAAGCATTAAAAACAAGTAGTAAAAAACTTCTGAAAATTAGGCATTAAAAATGATTAGAGAAAGCAAGACACAGAAGATAAGCAAAGAAAAGCTGCCATATGAAAAAGAAGTTCCCAAAGAAATTCAAGTCCAAAGGCAGCAAAACTGCTATCTAGTAAGGAAATAAGAGAACGATTCTAGCAAGTCAGGAGAGACGCTGCTGCAGGAAGTGGTCTGTGTCAGGGGACTGGCAGGTACAAGTACTATCCAACTGTGGGATCATGTAGGTTTAAAATTAAATTTTAAACTTGACATATAAAATTTATATACAGTTTATGTCTTAGGACATAAACTTTCAATACTGCAATACCAAAAAAAAAGTTTCTTTCTATGAGATTTGATTGCTAAGCCAGTGGAACACTGGAAGTGTTTCACAGTTATATGCAAATGTTAATTTCTCAGGCAAAATGAGGCAGAAGCCCTGTCCCACAGACTCACCTGGGCATATGCACTTTGAGTGACTTTCCTGAGGTCGTCCTGAGCACCAGTTGTAATTCTTCCAAAGAAGATCTCTTCAGAGACCCGGCCACCTAGAGTCATGCACATCCTGTCCAGGAGCTGCTCCTTGGTATACAGGTACTGTTCTTTTGGTAAATATTGAGCATAACCCAATCCTTTGCCACGTGGGATGATGGATACCTGGTGAGTACAAAGCATGCACAATGGTGAAGAGCCCACCCACTACCAAACGCAGACCTGATCAGAACATCTGTCTACAGGTAAAACTCAAAAGATGAAAAGTGAGCACAATGGTAAGGCCATCCATTGGCCTCATCTACAGAAGATCTAGCAGAGTAACTTCCACAGTAACTTCCTCTCTGGATAATTTCACCAGAAGAGTTCTAGAAAGCATTTCCTGTCTTTTTGTAAAACTCAACCAAAATTTTCAGTCTTAACCAAAGGAGACTTGATAAGTCCTGGGGACTCCTCCCAGCATTGCACAGGCTGATTCAACTCTAACCATGGCAACCTCCCCCTTAGAGGACAAAGGGAACAGAAGGCTAAGATGCTCAGGAGCCTTCATTTTCTTTGCTAGTCCTTTTTTTTTTTTTGCAGTTAAATTCCTTGAATTTAAAAAAAAAAAAGACTATCGAGGGATGATTTCTATATGTAAAGTGTATCTATTTTAATCATAAAGCTCAATGAGTGTAGATGAACACTAACTTCTGGCCACAGAGAAGACACAAGATGTCATCATTATGGCCCAACAATTCCCTCATACCTTTATAGTGAATCTTTCCCTTCAGCCCCATGTACTTCAGGTATGCTGACAGTTAAGTTTATACTTGCTAGAATTTGCATATAAATACAATCGCACAGCACGTACTTTATTGTGCCTGGTTTCTTTCCCTTTCTCAGATTCATCCAACTGCTGTATATGTTTTGCTGCTATGTAGCATCTCTCTCTATATATAAACACATCAAATTCCACTTCATTCTTGACAGACATCAGGTTGCTCTCAGTTTACTGAGAATAAAGTGAGTCTGTGTGGACGTCTCCATTTATCTTGAGTAAATATTAAAGAGTAGGACCATTTTGGTCACATGAAAGTGTTTACCTCTTTAAGAAAATATCAAACAGTTTTCCCACATGGCTGCACCATTTTACAGTCCTGCCAGCAATGCAAGAGGGTTCCAACTGCTCTGCACCCTCATCAACACTGCTTTGTTCAATTGTCACCATTCCAACAGTGGATTTTGGTAGCTCCTGGTCTAGTCTGCAGTTCCCTGGTGAATGAGACTACCTTTATTTGGGCTTTCATATGACTCAGTAAGTATATGTTCAGATCTTTTGGGCACTGTTTCACAATGTTGCTTAATTTCTTATCGAGCTGTAGAGTTATTTATGTATTCTAGATACATCTTTGTCACATATTATGTATTGCAAATATTTTCAGTGTGGCTTGCCTTTTTTCATTTTCTTAACAGTATCTTTCAAAGATGTTTAAAACAGATTAAATTTAAATTTAATTTTAATGAGATCCCATTTATCAACTTTTTCTTTTGTGACTTATGCTTTTTGTGCCCCAAGAAAATTTTTGCATACTCAAGGCCACAAAGGTTTTACCTACATTCTCTTGTAAAAGCTTTATAATTTGGGCTTTTGTGATCTATTTCAAATTAGCTTTTGAAACGTGCTAGCCAACATTCACTTTTTCCAGGTCATGCTGACTTTCCAGAATCATGTCGATAAGGCAATCTTTCCTCCCTTGAATTATGGTGGTTCCTCTTTTGAAATCCACCAGATGTGTGGTCTCTCTGATCTCTGTTCCAATCCTCTTGCCACTGCCACAGGCTTCATCATGGCAGCTGTGTAAGCCTTAAAAGCAGATAGTCTACGGGCTAAGTGGCTCAAGTGGTAAAGCGCCTGCCCAGCAAGTGCAAGTACCACAGAAATAGGAGGTAAAATCCTTTCAATTTAGTGGTTTTGGTTGTTCTAGCTCATCTGTGTTTCCATAAAATTTTAGACGCAGCCTCACAATTCCACAAAAAATGTCAGCAGGGCTGGGGGGTAGCTCAATGGTAAAGTATTTGCCCAGTATGTATGAAGCCAAGGGTTTGATCACCCACACCACCATAAAAAAAAATCTGCTATAATTTTAAGATATTGTTGCAATGACACCATAGCTCAATTTGCAGAGAACTGACATAGGATCCATACAGAGTATCTATTTTTATCAGGTCTTACTGAATTCAATCTATATGCGCTATAAGTTTTTTCTTAAATTTGTCCCTCTACGTGTCATATTTTCAGATGAATTCAATTCATGGAATTTAATTTTTATATTTCATTTTCCAGCTGTTCATTGCTAATATACAGAATAATGACTGACCTTTGTCTATGCACCTTGAGTTTTGCAAACTTGCTAACTTATTAGTTCTAGTAGCTTCTCTGTGGCTCCTTGGGGTGTTTTATGTATACACTAATGTTTTTCCCACTTCAGTGCCCTTCCGCAGGCCACCGCTCACTTTCCAGCTGTCTTCTGTAATATGTGCTGCACTAGTCTGAGGAGTGCATAGTAAAAAACACAGAAAATTTAAGTCTCCCTGGTGCACTGTCTTCTAGGTATGGATTCCTCTTTGGTCTCTGCTGACTTTCTTGCCAGCCTCTCTGGTATCAGCAAGGTGGACATTCTATTCAGATCTGGGTCTCAGTAGTCTGGTTTCCTGCCTCCATCATTTACATTTCTGGGATTCTTCAAATCCTGAGCTCTCTCTTTTGCCACCTCAAGATGGCCAATATATTCCACCACTGTGGTGTGGAGGTTACAGAAAACCTCAGGCCAAAGAGCCACAAAATCCCAATCCACACTGTGCTGCTGCGTTCCAACACTCAACTACCCCAGCTCTGCTGTGGTTTTGGACTCTTTTTGTTCCCTTTAAATAGCTGTCTAACTCATTTGGAGGGTTCTTGTAACCACTTCATTCAATCTTGACTAGTATCTGATAAATTCCTTTAAAGTTACATATCATACATATTTATTCTTTGTGGGAGTGCAGCTCCCTCAAGTCACTGCGCACATACTGAGCTGTGCCTACATCCAACACACACTGCTTCACCTTTAAGAGAGGGTCTGCATGTTCCAGATACCAGCCGGCAACGGCATGACCTGCTTCATGGTATGCCACAGTCCTTTTCTCTTCGGGCTGCAGCACCTGGGTTTTTTTCTCCAAGCCTAACAAAATAGTAAAAAAAACCCCAAACACAGTGTTAGTGACACTGACATTAGAAGATACAATGCTATGCATTCTCTATCTAAAATGTGACTTGGGGGCTGGAGCATGGCTCAAGTGATAGAGCACCTGCCTAGCAAGCATGAAACCCTGAATTCAAATCCCACTACAGCCAAAAAAAAAAGTTATTTAGTGACTAAGCTGCCTTTGATTAATTCAGAAATTCCTAATAAAGATTAGAATAGAAGAAAAGGGTGAAGTATGAAATATACCCAGCTATAGCAAAATTGCATTCACTGAATTTCCCCCCAGGCCCCTTTTTATCCTAACTCTCCTTTTAAGTCACACATCCTGTTTTGGGAAATAAACAGAACGTAAAATGAAATTCAGCACTTAAGTCGCAGCTTAGGTCAGCATAAAACATACAAGTCATGGGTAACAAGAAGGCTAGAAAGGTCCTCAGAATCAACAAGGACACTTGTCAGGAAAAACCAACTAATGTCTGCTCCTCATGAAAGGCAGAAGCCAGAGACGTGCTGAGCTACTGAGAGCTGAAAACACTCAGAGCTGGGTAGGCCAATGCTAACCAATCAGCCCAAGGGGTTCAAGAATTAGTCAAGAAAGCAGCAGAACAGACCCAAGCAGGTAAACCTCCAGAAACAGAAGACCATGTGATAGAGGCAGCATCTACAGATCTGAAGGACCTCCAATCTAAGTAACTTCTTGGGCCTGCAGAGATGAGCACTGAGCCTTACTTTGTATCAATAAACTGTAAAAAACCATGCTGCATAGTTTGTATTAATACAATTCATCACACTGTTACAAAGGCATTCTGCATGATCAAAAGGTAATTCACCTGAAAGAAGTTCTCAACTGAAAACATATTAGGAAGACTGAAGATTTTTTTTCAAAAGCTATTTTCCGAATGGCACACCTAGGACAAGTATATTATACAGAGCTGCTAGGTTGGAAAGTTATAAAAGAGTTACCAAGTCCTGTTTTCCATAGATAAGCACTTTTGCAGTGCTGGGGACCAAACCCAGGGCCTCATGCATGCTAAGCAGATACTCTGCCCAGTGCTGGGATTCCAGGTGTATGTCACCACACCCAGGCTTTTATCATTCAGCCTTTGACTTGCATGAGTAAGCTGCTTACCACCAATCACTCGTTCAATTGCTTGTTCAAAGTGCTTCTCATTTATGGAATCTGAAAGGTGTCTTGCAGCAATCAAAGCAGCTTCATTACAGACATTGGCAACATCAGCTCCTACAAAATGAACACATGGAAGAGTTACCACCAAATATGTGCAAGCTACGCACCCACAAAATACAGAACTAAATCCAGTCATTTTAACTAGCAGAGATGGTATAAAGGTTTTACGGATACAGAATTCAGTTGGAATTTTAACTCTAAGCTATTTTAGCACTTGGTACTAACCTGATATAATTAACCTTGGACCACTGAACTGAAAAGTTAGTAGCAAATAAATAATTACAGACAATTACCTTAATAGATCATGGCTCATATATCAGCAAATTAAGATTATTTTATTTTATTATTTGGCAGTACTGCGGTTTGAATCTTGGGCCTTGCACTAACCAGGCAGGGACTCTACCACTTGAACCACACCCTCAGTCCTTTGTGCTTTAGTTGTTTTTCAATAGGATCTCACATTTTTGTCTGGATGGCCTCAGACTGTAATCCTCCTACCCATCCCTCATTCGTAGCTGGGAACACAGGTGCACACCACCCTGCCCAGCTTGTTTGTTGAGATGGGGGTCTCACTAATTTTTTGCCAGGCTGGTCTCAGACCTTGATCCTCCTGATCTCTACTTCCCAAGTAGCTAGGATTACAGACATGGGCCACCACACCCAGCTGTTTAAGACAATACTTTAAAATGCTCATTAATTAACTGAGTTCTAACATCTCTGCTGGGAAAATGACTTAACATATTATACAACATGTTGACATAAAATGACAAACATAAGCATTAAAATAACCTAGTGAATTTGACTAAACAGCTAAATTTAAATGTATGCTTTTAGATCCATAAGTGCTTGTAAATTAATTTTTCAGATCAAATATACGGTAACACAAATAAGCGATAACACAATCCATGTTCCCAATAAACAACTAAGGCGTTATAAATTCCAAGGTCCACAAACAGTAAGTAAAAAGTCTGGACTCCTGCAATATTCAAGATGACCATCTTCTGCCCACAGAACTGTGTAACAACTTCCATTACGTCCTAAACATTACTTTTCATTTTGCGTTTAGGACGGACACAGGAACGGGAAAGAAAGGGTTGTATTTTAAAGACTCTTGGACCAAGCACATGAAAAGATGTTAAGCATCACCAGGCACTTGAGAATGCAAATCAAAACCTCAACGACCCCTGTCTAGAAGGGTTACAATCAGTGACACAGACAGTAAGAGCTGGGGAGTGTGTGGGGTCACTGGCATAAATATCCAAACGGTGCTGGAGGGAATGCAGAATGTACAGCCACTTTAGAAAACAGGCTGGCAATTCCTCAGAAACTCAAACATAAGACTTGACGACATGACTGTAATTCCCATCCCAGGTACATAACCCAGAGAAATGAAAATATATGTTCAACATAAAAACCTGCAGATGAATGTCAGCAGCAGCATTACTCATAACAGCCAGAAGCTGGAAATCACCCAAACATCCATCAACTAATGAATGGGTAAGATGTGGAATATCCATATAATGGACTATTACTTGGCCACAAAAAGGAATGCAGTACTGCTCTACCTGCTACCAAACGGATAAACCCTGAAAACAGTACATTAAGTTTCCAGGGAACATGTTATAGAATGCATTTATATAAAATGTCCAGAGTAGGAAAATACACAGAAACCAAAAGGAGATTAAGGGTTTTCTAGGTCAAGGAGCTGATAAGATTTTTGGGGGGTGATAAAATGTTTCAGTTACAGTAATGGGTGCAAAATTTTCTAAATGTGCTGAAAATCAATGAATTATACACTTTACACAGGTGAATATTACTGCATGTTAATTTTAATCTCAGCAGAAAAAAAAAAAGTGATTTGCTGTCAGGAACTGGTTCTGATCTACTCCAGAGGCAAAGAGAGAGATGAAATAAGGTTGGATGAGGATCAGTGATTGCTTATGCTGGTGCTGGGCTGGGCTGATGGGCCTGCCATGCTACTTCCTCTAAATCTGTATTTGAATTTTCCCATAATGCAAAGATAAAAATGACTTAGAAAGCCCTGAGGTGAAGTGGTACCCAATATTTTTCGGAGATTAAGAAGTACTCAGAAGCTGGGCATGCTGGCTCATACCTGTAATCCTAGCTATTCCAGAGGCAGAGATCAGGAAGACTGAGGTTCGAAGCCAGCCTGGGCAAATAGTTTGCAAGATGCTACCTCAAAAATACTCATTATAAAAAAAAAGGGCTGGGAGAGTGGCTCAAGTTGTAGAGCAACTGCCACTTGTTTGAACTCATGAGGCCCTGAGTTCAAACACCAATACCACCAGAAAAAGAAGTACTCAAAAAAGAGAACAGCAATGATGTCCACTCACCTGAAAACCCTGGGGTTAAGGATGCCAGTTTTCTGGCCAGTTTCTCCTTTTCCAAGGCACTGTCCAGTTTCAGTGGTCGAAGGTGAACTTTAAAAATAGAGGCTCTCCCTTTTATGTCTGGTGGTCCTTTAGAAATTATTTTCAAGGGGAAAAAAAACCAAGGTGAGTTATTCCTATTCCCATGAGACTGGACCAAACCCAGTTAGTAGCACCTCACCAATAAAGATCTGTCTGTCGAAGCGGCCAGGCCTCATCAGTGCTGGATCTAGGATATCTGGCCGATTGGTGCCCGCCAAAATGACCACATTTGTTGTTGTGTTAAAACCTGAAAAAGATAACAAAAATGCAATCATAACCAAATGACGTGGGGCAGGGCAGAAACAAAACTGCCTGTGGAGAATATACAAGTACTACAAAGTCACAGCTGCATTAAACATGGCTTTCTACTATTATCCAGTATACAATAAGTTTTTTAAAAACTTGATTTTTCTCACAACAAGAAGCCTGCCTTACTTGCAAATTTATTACACATAGTTTTGACCAAGTGTGGCCCCCCCCAAAAAAAAAAAAAAAAAGACAGCTGGATGCTGGTGGCTCACGCCTGTAACCCAAGCTACTTGGGAGGCAGAGATCAGGAGGACTGCGGTTTGAAGTCAGCCTGGGCAGATAGTTAATGAGACCCTATCTCAAAAATACCAACATGAAAAAGGGCTGGCAGAGTGCCTCAAGTGGCAAAGCACCTGTCTAGCAAGAGTGACGCTCTGAGTTCAAACCCCAGTACTGCAAAAAAAAAAAAAAAATCATGTTGCCTTTTCTCACGTTAAGTCAGAAGATTGGTCACTTTTGATGTTTGTAAGAATAAAGAAGTACAAAAAAAAAAAGAAAATGAATGCCAGTAATGTAAAAGGGTCTTTCTGGGGGTGGGTATCAGTAGGAAGGAGGAAGGTGAAAGAGGACAATGAAGGGGAGAATATGGTAGAAGTACTTTATGCACATGTATGAAAATAGAATGACTCATGTTAAAAAATTATGCTTAAATGGGGGGAGGGGATGAAAATGAGAAATAATACCAGGGTGAATCTGATCAAAGTTCATTGTATGCTTATATGTAAATAGCACAGTCAGTGAAACCTCTTTTTACAATATATGCCAATTAAAAATTTCAATAAAAAAAAGAACATTTAAAAAGGGTTTGTCTTAGAAAATGTCCTTTTACTTATTTTTAATTTTTCTTGGTGGTACTGGCGTTTGAACTCAGGACCTCTTACTTGTGAGACAGGTGCTCTACCATTTGAGCCACTCTGCCATCCTTTTTTGTAGGGTATTTTCAAGATGGGGGTCTCACGATCTATTTGTTCAGGCTGGTCTTGAACCATACATCCTCCTGATCTTTGCCTCTCAAACAGCTAGGATTATAGGCATGAGTCACCTGTACTCAGCTTATCTTTTTAAACTCAGTATCACATTAAGAATTCTTGTCCTAGCCCCATGACACAAGCCTGCAATCCCAGCTACCCAAGGCAGAGTTTGGGAGGATGGAGGTTTCAGGCCAGCCTACGCAAAAAGTTACAAGAAAGACCACATCTCAACAAAACAAACTAAGCATGGTGGCACACACCTGTGATCCCCACTGTGCAGTAGGCTGGCCATAGGTGGGATCGTGGACTGAGGCTGACCCTGGCAAAAACAGGAGACCCTGCCTGAAAAATAACTACAGCAAAAAGGGTTGGTGCGATGGCTCAAGTGGAAGAGTAACTACCAAGCATGAGGCCCTGAGTTCAAACCACACTGCCACCAAAAAAAAGAAAAAAAAAAGGAATTCTCATTATAGAGATGTTTGAGACAACAGGAAGTACAGTTTAAGATATGAAAGGCTTGCCCACTCACCATCCATCTCTACAAGCAGCTGGTTCAGTGTGTTCTCCTGCTCACTCTGCCCTCCAAAGTTGCCTCGCCCTCTCTTCCTTCCCACGGCGTCAATCTCATCAATGAAGAGAATGCATGGGGCATTCTTCCGAGCAAGGGCAAACAGGTCTCGGACCTTGACAGGAGAGGCACGAGAGTCACTTGACAAGTGAATGTTATTTTGCTTCTAAGAAAACTAAACCTCAGAGTCAGGCGTTCCTATAAACCCAGCACTTGGGAGGATGAGGCAGGAGGGTTGAAAGTAAAACCCACTAAAGTTCAAGTCTCCATCCCGTGAAGACAATCTTTTTGTGTTTCACACTAAGTATTCATATCTTAAAAGAACAGCAAGAAGTGGTGAATGATGAGACATTTGGTGACTGTTTTAAGATATGAAAATATTATTTCCATAGCTCTAAATTATCCTGTGTAACAAGATCTAGCAGTATCTGCTACTTTTCTAACACCAGCAAATAACTACTATATATTCTGTCCTATAAAAATACAACAGAGTGGGTCTGCTAACTCTATTCAGTTGGAAAGTTCAGGTTTCTCTAGGGCTCACAGTTCAAACCTAAGGCATTTCCTGAGGAGCAGGGGCATCCTAACAGGTTTGCACTGCACCTACAGGGAGGAAAGGCCAGAGCCAGCAATGTGACCCTGTCCCCAGCCCCGCAGACAGAGACAGCTGCTAGCACAGCATCCTTGTCCTGATGTCCTACTGAGCAGGGCCCTCAGGCCATTAAGTTGAGATGGGTAGAAGGTGAAGCCTCATAAGTCTCACGTCCTGTCTAAGATGCAAAGTCACCTCCCTGCGCCTTTTCGGAAGTCTCTCAGTTGTCCTTACCTGCTTGGAGTCTGTTTGTTTTTTGTTTTGTTTTTGCAGCACTGGGGTTTGAACTCAGGGCCTCATCCTTGGTAGGCAGGTGCTCTTACAGCTTGAGCCACTCCACCAGCCCCATTTGGATTCTGGATTTTCATTCCTACACTGCTCTGAACCCACTCCCAGAGTAATTCTGCTCCCCCCATTCTAAATCTGTGACCAACAGACCCACACCCTCAAACACATCCCTTTGCCTCCTGGCCTGAACTACAATTTGGCATCCCTGCAAGGCTTTCGGACAGAAGGGGTTTATATCTTCCCTTCCAGGCCAGCTGAAGCTGGGGTACACCCTCCACCCACAACTGCTGTCAAAATAATTCTGCTGGGGAAAAAACCTTGCTTGTGAGGCACACAGCCTGTGCCAGGCACCCCACCCCTCACTGCTGAGGTACTCCACTGGCCTGATGCCCTGCCAGGTACTCTTTGCTAGGTGATATCCACATGCATGTGGCTCCCGGTGTTTCAGGAGTCACCTCTTCAATTACTTTTTGCTCCACTTGGATTTGGCAGCCCTGCCATGGTGCCCTCTACCCAACTGGCCTCAAGCTGCCTGTCTGACCACCCTACCACCTGGTCTGGCCAGCCACATACATCTGAAGCATCTCATATGGCTAGTTCTCCATTCCCTCCTCAGATCTCCTACCCACTGGGACCACCACATTCCCACCACTCAAAGTTCCTCCTCAGTCTTCAGCTTCCCCTTATCTGTATCAGGTTTCATGTTCCATTGTTATAAACATTTCGCTTGCCTATTTTTCTAAGACTTAGCTGCCTTACAAACCCATAAGAATCAATCTACACCACTAACTTTTAAGATGCCACTGGTGGTAAGACCCGTCATAACTACGCTGGTCATCAACTGATGACATAATGTTTTTCCTATAAGTTGTACCCTGATGTGTAGAAAACTACTGTGATAGCACTTTGCATTTTTATAGTATTTTCTTAAGTCAAAACTTTAGATACTGGTGAAATACACAAGAGCAAAAATTAAATATTTCTGTAGAAGTTAAGCCACATTCACACTTCTGATGTCAACACCTACAAAGCAATAATAATCAAGAGTGTGGTACTGACAGAAGAATAGATATACAGATCGATGGGACAGAACTGAGAGTCCAAAAGTAAACCAAGGCCATTCAAATGGGGGGGATATTTTTTCAGCAAATGGTGCTAGGAAAACAGGATATAGACATGCAAAGGAATGAGATGAGACCCTTACCTTCTGCCATATAGAAAAATTAACTCAAACTATAAGCTACTAAATAATAGGGGTGCATGGTGATAGAGAAGAGTAAGTAATGAGGGGGTGCTAATCTGACTGAAGTACAATATAGACATGTCTAAATGCCAAGGTGAACACCCTTGGATCATCAATATATAATTTAAAAGGACAGGAGAGTAAAACAGCTCTTTTCCAAGGATGGGTATCAGCGGGAAGGGGGTGGACATAAGAAAAGGGTGAATGAGGGGGAATATGATGGATGTTTTGTATTCATTATGAAAACAGAACGTTAAAATTGTTCTAAGAAAGGGTGAAGGGAAAAAGGGAGAACAAAGGAGGGGGTAGAGCTAAGGTATACTGTAAGTACATATGTAAATACCACAATGTATTTCTCTGTACAACTATTATATGCTAATAAAAAAATTCACTCAAAATGGATCAAAAATTTAAACATAAAGAGCTAAAACTATAAAACTCTTAGAAGAAAACATAGGAGTAAACGGTAACAGCCTTGATTTGATAATGGATTCTTAAATGTGACACCAAAAACATAAAGGAGAAAAACAAAAGAGCTAAGACTTAATCAAAATTAAAATCTTTTGTGCTCCACTATCATGAAAGTGAAAAGATAATGTGAGAAAATATCTGCAAATCAGGTATTTGATTATGAGTTAGTATACAGAATGTATATGAAAAACAGACAGCTCAACAAAAGGACAAAATAAAAAAATTTAAAACCAGGCAAATAATCTGAACAGACACCAATCCAAGAAGAAATATAAACGGCCACCTTGCAGATGAGAGATACTCAACAGCATCAGGCATCAAGGAGATGAGACACATCACACTCACTATCATGGCTATAATCAAAAGACCAGGTAATGAGTGTTGGTGAGGATGTGGAGAAATCGGAACCTTCATATACTGCAGTTGGGAATATAAAATGGTGCAGGTACTGTGGAAAATTCTGGTAATTCCTCAAAAGTAAAACAAAGTTACTATTTAAGTTAAAAACATTAAGGTAGGGACTAGTGGAGTGGCTCAAGTGGTAGAGTGCCTGCCCACCAAACGTGAGGCAGTACTGCTAAAAAAAAATAAAATAAAATAAAAAATAAGCCACATGAAAAACACTCAGGCACAAAAGGCCACGTATTATTGGTGATGTGTGCCTCTCATCCCAGCTAATGGGGAGGCTAACACAGGAGGGTCGCTTGAGCCCAGGAGTTTGAAGCCAATCTGGGCAACACAGCATAATATCATTTCAATACAAAACAAAACAGACACATAATGTATGATTCTATTTATTTAAAAATTCCAGATGGAATAGGAAAATCTACAGACAAGACGTATATTTGTATTTGCTCAGGGCTGAGAGTAGGTTAAGACGGACCAGGTGATAGTTAAAGGACCTGAGGTTTCTTGAGGTGATGAAAATGTTGTAATATCAATTGTGGTGATGGTTGCACAACTCTGTGATTACCTAAAAGCTATTTAACTGTATACACCTTAAGGCAATGAATTTTTCAGTATGCCAATTGTATCTCAATAAAGCTGCTACTAAAAGAAATTAATCCATGAATTAAAGCCACTTCTTGAAATACATGAATTAGAATTATCTTTGGTAACAGACTGCAATCCTGGTTAGGGTGGGGGATGGTGGCTAGAAGTCACAGGAATCACACTGGAAGTGCAGCCTCCAAAGCCTGCTCAAGGCAGTGACTGACAGGAGGTCTCTCAGGGGACTCTCGGGGGAATAGTGGGGATAGGAAAGTTATACCATCAGAGTAGGATATGACTTACTCTCGCTGGACCCACACCAACAAACATCTCCAAAAATTCAGACCCACTAACAGTGATGAAGGGGACGTTGGCTTCTCCAGCTGTGGCTTTAGCTAGCAATGTCTTCCCAGTACCTGGAGGACCAGTGAGAATGGCACCCTTCAGATATAAAAGAAATTATATTTAGTTACAATTTTAGAAACTACATATCCACAACGATTCCAAGGTATAATTCTATCTCTAAATCTTACTGATATGCACTGAATATTTATTAAATAGTTAAACTATGGTACAACATTTTTATAGCAGGAAGAATAATAAGAAAAGAATTATTAGAAACAATCTTGTTTGAAAAAATTTGGTAAGAATGTGAGGTGAACTCTTAAGTACATCCCTTATAAGGTTTTTAGCGTAAGGCTAGGGTGTCGGTCAATGGTAGAGCACTTGCCTAGCATGCACAAGGTCTCCGGTTCCATCCCTAGCACCGCAAGAATAACAAAAAGAAAAAAAAATTTTTTTTTAGTGATCCTTTTTAGGTTTTCAATCTAATAATATAAAAAGAATGGCTTTAGCTAGGAATCTACTACTAATAATAAACCAAACAAGCATTACTTAAATAATTCAAGGAGACACAACACCACTCTCTGAATTTACAGAATTCTTTTACTCTCTACAGTAAAATTGGTTTTCATGTACAGATGAATGTGCATCTTAAAACCTCACTCCATGGATGAATGTAATGTTTATTTCCACTGACTGTTCATGTCACTACCATTTTTCAAATACTGCATGGGGGGAGGTGGAGAGTATGCTCAAAAGATATGTCCTTTATAATAAAATTTTGAGGTATTTTTGAATTTGCTTACCTTCCTCTGCCTAGATATGTGAATGGACACTAAGCAAGTGACAGCAAATTATAAACACAGAACAGGACATGAAGAAAAAGGAAATGATTCGCTTTTTTTTTTTTTGGCAGTACTTGGAATTGACCCAAGGCTTCTGGAGTACTTAGCAAGCACTCCACCACTTGATCCACATCCCCAGTCCCTTTTGTTTTTGTTTTTGAGGTAACGTTGAACTAACTTTGCCTGGGATGGCCTGGAACTTGCGATCCTCCTAGTAGCTTGAATAACAGGTGTGTGCCACCACACCTGGCTTACAAAGCACTGCTTTAAAGTGAACTTTGTGAGTCATTTTATTCATATACTTAACAGCTGCTCCATTCAAGAAGCATGAAGTTTCTATTTTTGTGCCTGGCCCTTGGGGTACAAAGTCCGTAAGTGACAGGCCCTAACCCTAGCATAGTAGCCAGGATATATTTGCCGAAAGGAGGAAGGTGATCATTCCTGTGCCAAGACCCTCAGGGGGAGGTATCAGCAGGCAACCCACACACCTCTGTGAGAGGAGGGAAGAATGGGCCACAGCAGTGTGATACGCTATGGGGTGGGAGGTGGGGTCACAGTTGTCAAGGGAGGAGACATCTAAATCAGAATGGAGGGAGAAGCAAGGAAGGAGAAAAAGTAAATTTTGTCAGGAATGTACACGAAACCATGCAATGAGACAAGGGAAAGACCCAAAACAACTGTAATTAGGTAAAAACCAAGTTAAGAGAAAGCATAGAGAAACAGCTACTTAAAACAAGTAATCAAACTTCAAAAAATGTCAACTTCAGAAATCAAGAAATATCTCAAAAGATTTTTGGGTTATTCTTCTTAAAGTTCACTTTACCTTTGGGATTTTTGCTCCGAGGTCTTGATACTGCTTTGGATTTTTCAAGAAATTCACGAATTCCATTATTTCTAGCTTGGCCTCCTCACAGCCTGCCACATCTTTGAACTTCACATCTATCTCATCCTTTAAGACCTTGGCTGTGGTTTCCCCAACACTGAAGAGTCCACCCATGCCCCGGCCAGTTCGTCCGATGCCAGCAGGCCCTCTTCTTATGGTGTAGAGTAAGAAGGCGATGATGAGCACAGTGGGCAACATGCTCAGGAGGAAGGACCTAGAGGGACAACCACGGCACTGATGCTCTTAACACTGGCAACAAAGTGTTTGAAAACTGCTTCACATTAGAATTGCAAACATTTTCACTTTAAAAAACCTAAGTATCCACATATTTTATCTGAGGCACAAGGAGAATCTTGGAGTATTATTATCACTGGAAGTAGACTCACCAAAGATAATATCAAAAAGCAAACCTATTCTCAACAATGTATGCTGCTTCTTGGCATTTTAGTTCTACCCCACCATTTATGCACAGTGGTGCTATTTACTATCATCGTGTCTGAGTTTCAAAGTAATTTCTTTCAAATTACTCACTTAAAACAATTATTTTCTTTGGTGGGACTGAGGGTGGAACTCAGGGCCTCGCATTTGTTTAGGCAGGTACTCCACTGCTTGAGCCACACTTCTAGTCCTTTCTGTTCCAGTTATTTTTGAAATAGGGTCTCACTTTATGCCAGCATGGACAGTGATCCTACTATTTACACTTTCTGAGCAAATGGGAAGACAGGGGTATAACACCTTGCCCAGCTTTTTATTGGTTGAGATGGGGTCTCTTAAACTGTTTGCCTGGGCTGGCCTCAAACTTCAACTGACCTGATTTCTGCCTTCTGAGTGGGATTTTACCATAATCCTGGTGTTAGTCTGTGTAGAAATTTGAGCTCTTTACTTGGATGCATCAACCTAAAGAAATGTCTTCCACACAAATTACTCATTGGTAATTTAACAGCATGTCAGTTTTGTGAAATGCTGCAAAGCCCACCCTTGTATAGGTTCAGCAAAGACGCCAAGATTCCCCTCCAAAATGGCACCTGCTCTCCAGGGAGATACTCAGGGATGACTTAGGTGCATTCTGCCTTTTGTATGTCATAATAATATTTGCCAATTATAAGTTTTCAAATGCTGCTAGAGCAATCAGCAAGAACCATAAAAATCCTACCTTTGGCTTTTTTCTGGAGAGAGAAAGAAAAACCTGCACTGACGATAAAAGTTTATAGTACAGAGCCATTTAACTTCTTACAGGTCATGAGCAATGCTAGCTTGGAAATTTGAGACATTTTTAGCACCAACATGATGAATATTTCAGATTTTGGAGCATTCCGAATTTCAATTTTTGGATTAGGGGTGGTCAACCAGTAGTCTATACAGATATTCTAAAATCTGAAATAATTTTCAATACCAGCCTACGAAAGTAATCACAAAAGGGCAGAGGATCAATCAGGGTAGAGGACACAGCCTACTGAAACTGTCACAACAGCTACGTGGAGTCACATGCTGCAGGTAGGCTGCAGATAGGTGTCCTCCAGAAACCCTGAATCTGATTCACACCATCAGTGCAATGAACACTAACTTTCAGGTTACTTTTTGTTCTCTCATATACAGAAAAATTAAGATTTATTTCTAATTTTATTCTGGGACCAGCAAGAGTATACTTCTGCACTTAATGCAAATTAAGTAACTACCAAGGGCTGGACTCCAGGGCCTCACTAAGGCTGGACAAATGCTCTACACTGAGCTACATTCCCAGCCCAAAGTTATTAGAGACAACTCTAAGAGAAGTGGCAGCTCTGGAGAGGAAGAATTACTTAAAACCCTGGAAAAGTATGAAATACAAATGTAGATGACAGTTAAAAGTAGTAATACTACTTTCTCACACAAAGGGACTCTTCACACTAAACCCACAAGGACAGGACACTGAAGTGTTGACACTCCAAATCATTGCTTAATAAAGACAAGTGTGTATCGGCCATGTGGAAACTTACTAATGACTTTCTTTTTCATCTTTAAACTGAGAAAGGCCTATTTTAGAATCTAATGTGTAACCCTGTCACCTGGTGACACAGGAAAGTGAACCAAGCACTGTGCAGTAAATAGTAATCAGTTATTTAAATTTACTTCTTACCCATCACTTTCAGCAATGTAGACAACAGGTACCCGATTTTCCCCTTCTATGCCCAATTCTTGCTGTAAAGTTTCCAGATTCCGCTCAAAGGTGTCTACACTACCAATATTAAACCAGACATATTGCTATAAAAACAGAAAAACAAATATCCTAAGAATGAAGTGGAAACAAAACTTTTAATTCATTACAAGGTTAAACTTTTAAAGAATTTTTCAGAAATACTGCAGAGTCACAAATTAAGAAAAAAGCAGTAAGACTGGTTTTAATGCTATTTACTGTGGTTTTCACCCTGTGAGAACACTAGGCAATCCTGGGCAAATAAGTATTTATTTAGCAATATTCCTTAATAGCTCTAAAATTCTAAGCTCAAAGAATAGAATAAAAAACCTGTTTAGGAGATAATCCTTTTATCAATAAATATGCATTCTTTTCTTCTCCATATCCCTATGGTCTATATCCCAAACTAAAAACTTATCGTGGTATAGCAATAGCTTGAGTTTACTGAGCATTTACTAAGTGTCAGCCATTGTTCTAAGTCCTTGATACGCATCAACAACTCACTCAATCTTGAGAACCATTCTAAGAAATGGGATTGGGGTGATATTCAAAAGTTACACCATTAGAAAGACACCAGGAGTGCGGTGCTGTGCCAGTGTTACCCTTCTAACCTAATCCCTAGAGCTGGGGAGTTCCCAAGTAGCCTAGAAACCTGAGGGGCTTGGGGCAATGACTACTCTACCAACCAGCACAGAAATACAGTCAATCCCTCAGTATCCACTGGGAAGTGGCTCCAAAACCCTCCAAAACTCAAGGATGCGCAAGTCCTTGCTATAAAATGGCACAGTATTTCCATATAATCTACATACGTGTATATACTGAAAGTCATCTCTAAATCTAGAGATGACTACCAATGCCTACTACAATGTAAATACTATGTGAATAGATGTTACATTTTATTGTTTGGGGAATAATGACAGGAAAAAAGTCTGCACGTGCTCAATACAAATTCAATTTTTATTTCCCAAATCTTTTCTACCTGTGGAATTCATTAGACTCAGAGGTGGAGCACCCACAGACAGAGGGCAAGTATATTTCATGTCATACTGTTGTCTACTGACTGAATGTGAGCCATGATTCTTACAGATGAGAAAATGTGAGAGTGTGAGAGTGATGTCACACGTGGGGGGTAGAAGGTCGGGATCTGAAGCCAGGGGTCCCTCTGCAGAGCCAACGTCCTAGATGTTACATCACAGTGCCTCTGCACAATCAAAGCAGCTCATATTTAGTGAGTTTTTCTAGATACATGATCCTGGGCCAAGCACTTTGCAAGCATTAGCTCCATCATGTAAACACCGAACACAGCTTCTCCTTTAACCTGCAATCATTTTTTTTAAAAAGTACTTTGTTTTTTTTTAAATCTAAACATGAAGTCTAAGATATAAAACTCAGAAGTGAGCAACATATCATCTCATATTCCTCCCACCAACCAGTGATACTGATCAGGTACGTCACTCTTTACAGTTCTAAAATAAAAGATGGACAGTAAGTTTTATATAACTACAGCTGGTGATAAACTGTTGCATGACAAAGGTACAAAATTCATGTGGTTATACAGCCCAAACACGGACAGAACAGACTAAGCACTTGTGACTGATCAAACCCAACTCAGCACCTGCAATCTACTGGGCACTGCACTGAAGGCCCAGCTCTCATCAGTCTGTACTTGGAGGCCCAGCAGTCTGGGCATCACCTAGGAGCATGTTTTAAGTGAGATTCTCAGTTTTACCAACTTTCCAGTGTACTGAAATTTGGAAACCACCACAGATTTAAACTATCTCATTAAGCACTAAGCCCTAAACAAGCACTACTGTGGCTCGCATTTTTAAGATGATGACACAGAGGCTTAGAGAAGTTCAATCATGTCGTTTATAGAGTGGGACTGACCTGAAGCTAAAGCCTGTGTGCATACACAATGTTAACAGTAGTTAACATTGCTACTCCAAACACAGGACACTGAAATCTTGTCTGTTTCTGAAAGCTCAAAATAAAGTTTTTACTAAACAGGCAACACATACTCTGTAGAAAACTCAGGAAACAGAAACATATGGAAAATAAAAAGTTAGCCAAGTGTGATGATGCACAAATGTAAGACCAGCACTTGAGACACTAAGGCAGGAAGATCCTGAGTTCAAGGTAGCTCACCCTTGTCTCAAAAAACCAAAAAGAGAAAGAGAAAGTATTCATGACCTCAACACCCAGAGATAAACATCATCAGCATTTCAGTGCCTATATTCAAGAAATTACATTATATAAAAAATACCCTCCTCTTTAAGATCTTGAAACATAAACCTTAACTCTGACATAGCAGAGAAATAAAAAGAATGTAATTTATAATACAATGGTATGAATTTCAATACACAATGCTTGTGCCTATCAATACTAGAAAACAAGGTCCCCTCCAATGTCAAAATTGCTCTCTAGGGATGGTACTGCCCGCTGAGGACCCTGCTCAGCATGGAAACTAAGAGCCAGTGACCACACTGACGATAAGCGCTTCCTGGTGTGGGTCCCTGTTTACTTCTAGTTTTTTTTGCAGTGTACTGGAAGGCATCCTTTTACAAACATCTCTATATGCAACCTTACTTAGTTCCCAAGGCTATATTCCTAGAAGCAAAATTACTAGGCATGTGTTTCAAAACAGCTGGTATATATACCACCAAACTTCCTTTTGAGAGGGAGTACCAACTTAATCTCCAGCACTGCACATCTGAGGAGAAAAAAGTAGCATGGTTAAAAACCATGGATACCACGATGTAGAGACAATGAAAAACAACCTTCCTGAACATCACTGAAATAACAGAGCCATATGACTTTACAGATAGTCCTGCATTATTAAATGCCCTGTTCAGGCAAGAGGGCCAGAAAATGGCTAAGCAAACCTGTCCTAAGGGTGGCAGGACTGCAGGACACCCAGAGACTAGGGGTGGGAACAAGGGTCAGAACAGATAGCACATACCACCCGGAAGTCTCCCCTCTTCTCCATAATTCCCTCAATGCACCCAGTGCTTCTGCCATGTCTCTAGAAGTAGAGTCCAAACTGGTTGGACAGGAAATACAAATTATTTTAAAATTAGGAAAACAAGTGTTATATCACAAAAGGGTTGGGATAGAGACAATCAGAAAGCATCCTAAACTGATTTGAAAGAAGCTGCCTTAACACATAAGCAATTCAGCGTTTTGTTTTGTTTTGTTTGCCAGAACTGAGGTTTAAACGCAGGGCCTTGTGTTTGCTAGGCAGATGCTCTGCCACTTGCACCACGCCCCTAACTCTAAAAGCAGTAGGCTTTTGAGTTATTTTTAGTTATTTTTCAAAAAAAGGTCTCACATTTTTTGCCTGGGGCCAGCTTCAGACTGAGATCCTCCTGCCTATGCTTCTTGCATAACTGGGAAGACAGAAATGCACCACCATGCCTGGCTTGTTGGTTGAGCTGGATATCTTGCTAACTTTTTGTCTGGATTGACCTCAAGCCATGAGCTTGCCAATCTCCGTCTCCCAAGTAGTAGGGATTACAAGAGTGAGGCATCATACCTGGCCGAAATTTAGGTTTTAACAGTTTTTACCTTAACAACTGTTTCTCGGTCTTTAAAAAAAAAAAATCAGAATACTAAAACTGAGATCTTAGCTAAAATGATTACAAAAACCAGAACAAAACACTGAGCAACACCTGCATTATGAATATATGCTCACTTTTATTAATGGGCCTCACACGAGCTGCATGCCCAATTTGACATCTCAGTACACACATCTACTGCAATATGAGGGATATTTTCTTTTCAGTTCTAAATTTGAAAAGTTACTTGCAACTAACCCATATCAATTAATAAAATGATTTACCCCATCAACCGGAGTTTTTCCTGGTGTAAAAGTCACTCGGACAAAACGTTTATTGACAACTTCCAGTCTGTCCACCTAGAATTTCAGAAAGTTAAACATTCAAGCATGAATTTACAGAAAACACTTGTAATTTCTGAGGATCTGCCACACTGTTTTCCACAGCAGCTATACAGTTTTACACTCCCACCATCTCTGTACATGCTAACCAACACTTACTCATTTACTGTAGCCATCCTAGGGTGTGAAGCAGTCTCTCATTGTAGTTTAAATTTTAATTCCCTAGTGATTATTATTATTATTAGCAGTAGTAGTAGTAGTAGTAGTATATTTGGTGGTGCTGGGGTTTGAACTCATGGCCTCACGGTTGCTAGGCAGGCACTCTAGCACTTGAGTCACTCTGCCAGCCCTCCCTAATGATTACTGACGTTAAGCATTTTTTCATGTACTTACTGCCCATTTGTGTATCTTTTTGTAAGTCCATTCAAGTCCTTTGTTCATCTTAAAATTTTATTTGTTTATTTTTGGTGCTACTGGGTTTGAACTCAGGGCTTTGCACCTAATAGGCAGGCACTCTACCAGTTGAGCCATGCCCCCAGCCCTTTCTGCTTTGGCTATTTAGGAGATAGTCTCACTTTTTGTTCAGACCAGCCACAATACTGTGTATGCTTCCCACCACTGCTGTGAGGACAGGCACATGCCACCATACCCAGCTTTATTCTGTTGAGATGGAGACTGGCAAACGTTTTTGCCCAGACTGGTCTGAAACGATGATCCTCCTGATCTCAGCCTCCCATGTAACTAGGATGACAGTTGCACTACACTGCATTTGTTGTTTGAGATGGGGTTTCATGAACTCTTTGCCAGGGCTGGCCTTAAACCATGATTCTCCTAATCTGAGCCTCCCAAGTAGGATTCTAGGTGTGGGCCTGCCCAGCAGCAATAGAAAACTCCAATGTGAAAACAGTAACTTTACCATGGACTATTTACCACTTTCTTGCTCTATTCTATTGAATGTCATCTTCTGAACAATGACAGCCACCAACCCCATACGATACTTACTACTCCTTTAGAAAGATAGTTATTGACAAAGTCCTTCCATGTGATTTCTCTCCCAGAGCTCCTGAACAGGAAGTAAAACATGACTCCACCCCAAAACAAAGCAGTCCAGAGAAAGTACAATCTAAAATCCTTGTCGTCCCATGGGAAGTCACCCTAGGCAAAGATGGAAAGAGCTTCTGTAAAGAACGAAATGCCACAATATGATCTATGCTACATGAGACATGACTCTCTCCCAACCTTTTGTGGCATCACAAATGTAACCTCAAAATCACAGAGTTTGAAATCAAACCTTCTGGAACCTGGACCACCAGTGAGAATCATCTTTCTTGCCTTGGCGTTTTCCTCCACCGCCACCTGCTCCTCCAGAAGAGCGCTGGGTAGTAGCTGGTTTTGACTCTGCCGTAAAATAAAGAGCATACACATGCAGCAGCACTGCAGGCTTTATGGGTGTCAACAGGCTTCCAGCCACACAACTCAGTAAAGGACTTACACTGAAGTGTTCATCAGTTACTAAATACAACACTCTGAGAGACTATGTGAAAGTATACTAATACAAAGCAGTAACATTCAGGGAGGCTCCAAAGTGCTTTACAATGGCCACAGAAAACCCAAATGCTAGAAGAATGTTACTATTAGTCCCATGTTACAGAGGAAGAGACTGGAGCTTCAATAACTTGTTGGGCAACTTGCTGCCATGTTACAGAACAGTGAAAAAGTAACATTGGGATTTAAACCCAGGCAGGCAAATTTCTGCGCCCCAATTCAAATTTAAAAAGTAAGTGCTTTCCCAGTCCCAAAGAGTAAACACTGGGAACAGTTTGTTCTGTAGGAAGACTACCATTTTCATAATTGGTTAAAAAAAAAAACCTCTCCCCATGGGCTAAAGGTGTAATTTAATAATAGAGCACCTGCCTGGCATGCTCAAGGCCCTGGGTTCCATCCTTAGTGCCCCAAACAAAAAAAAATGCCTCGCCCACATGTAACTAGTTTGCAAGAATCTGCAATTAGTCATTGTTATGGGCTGAACTGTGTCCACACCCCTCCCCTGCACTTTATGGTTGAGGTTCTGACCCTCAGTACCTTCTTTGGAAATAGGGTCTCCACAGCAGTAATCAAGTCAAGAGATCTTAGGATGAACCCTAATCCAATAGGACTTGTGTTATTACAAAAAGGGGAAAGTTGGATACAGACACACACATACATAAAGAAGGGTGATGTGAAGAGACAGGAAAAAGAAGGCCACCTACAAGCCTACAAAGAGGGCTCTTGGAATCAACCTGCTCACACCTTCATTTTGGACTTCTAACCTCCTGAACAATGAGACAATCAATTTCTGTTGCTTAAGACCCCAAGGACTTAACTCTTTGTATTGGTAACCTTAAGAAACTAACACAATCAGTGACATCTTCCTTCCTTTTGCCACATCTCCATCCACTCTATGACCCACAAACAGCATTCTAATGCTGCTAACTACCATGAGGCAACCCTTCTAATGCAGCAGGAGGAGAGCCTATGGGCACATGTCATCTCCAGTAGTTACATGACACTGTGGCTTCATGATACACCCACCACATGTGCTATGTACGGAGATAGGTGTGCTGTGCACTGCCTCACCCCACCTCTAACAAGGCATAGTTCTGGAAAGCAGAGATGGCACACTGCACAAAATGGGTGACAATATTCCAAACTGCTCTGGGAAAAGGTAGTATTTACATGAAAGGCAGGCTGTGTTCACAAAGTGGACCCATTATCATTAATCTGTCCCCAAACCAAAATTCAGACTACCAACCACATCCTAGAAAAACCCTGTAGCACCTGCCCATGTCACCAACACTCCAGCCCAAAGCCTCAGGGTCATTTGTCAGTACACACTAGTGCTTCTCCCTCCCCAAGTTCCCCAGCCTCACTCTCACTCCTTTGCTGAGCATATACTTGTCTCTCCAACTAGATGACAAGTTCATTTAAAAACAAGGGCTGAGCTGGGCATGTAGCTCAGTGGTAGAGCATCTGCTGAGCATTTGTGAGGCCCTGGGTTCCATTCCCAAAACCACCATCACCACCAAAACACTATCACCACCAACACCCCCCCAGGGGATGATTTATATTTTTCCTTACATTTCCCTAAAAAGAAAGGGAGCCAGTTGAACATCAATATATGCTAAGCAGTGTGCTAGCATATGAAATGTGGATAGGAGGCTTGGAGCCCACACAGTGACCCATCCACCCTCTCTGAATCCCTAAGATAAGATAGGACTCAGTTACGGTTCATCAACAATCTTTAAAACACTGCACTGTATCAAAACACATGTCAAATAAGCTGAATATGTTAGGCTCCCTAAGACTTTTCTCAATGGCTTAAATTATGTCAGATATATCTACCAAAGAATCTTAATCAGTCAATTATCTGTCAGGTAACTTTAAATTACCTCAATCTGTAAAATGAAGGAAATACACACAGAAAATTAAGGTGAAGTGAAACACAGGGACTACAGAACTATGGGTGTGTTTGTAAACTCCAGGGTCAGAGCTGACTTTTGATAACTCCTCTGTTGAGTGGAGCTATACCCACCACTTATTAGGGGAAAACAACAAGCTCAAAAATAATCTTTTTAAAGATACCTGTTTTTTCTCCCACAACGTCTTTAGGTTCACTAGCTTTTTTCCCATTTTTTCCGTTAGGAAAGTATTTTTCAAATCCTGTTAGAAAAGAAAAGGAAAAGGCTCAAATTAAAATTCACCAGGTTTTGTGTGTGTTGTTTGTGTGTGTGTTGTTTTTAAAGTAGCTGCCATATCATTAAAAAGCATAAGCTATAAGTAACTTTGTTGTGAAGAAGTACATCACAGTCTAAAGAATACAATTTGCAACCAAGAATGTTAAAGAAAAAAGCTTCCTTGCATGGCAACTTCATCATCTATAAGAATGTTACAGTAAAGGTGACATATTTTCATTGCTGTAATTGGAGGTCAGGGAGTAGGTACAGGAGAAGACAGAAGATAAGAGTCATTCTGAAACTAAACCTACGCACCTGTTTAGTAAATACCAGTAGAGGACAAATCTCTGTAACAAGAATGTAGAGCATTACAGTCATGCCTACGCATTTACCTTTGGGAGGTCGAGAACAGAATCTTTGATAAGCAGCAATTACATCTGTCAAAAGAGAATTTCTGCTGGTTGTTGCCTGAGCTGTAGCATATTGATAAAGCTGCAATATGACATAAAAATAAAAGATGAGGACTACATCAAGATAAAAAATGTACAAGCATTTCATTTCCTTTTATGTTAAAGTGGATGAAATGTTTCTCCCTTCCACAGGTGGCCATAAACTAGCACAAAATGACTCCTTGCAGGAAGCACCAAGGTTATCTGGCATTAGGCACCTTATACTAGCAACAGAACCAGGAGACATGCACTGTTATCCACAAGGTAAAAATATTTCAAAGTTAGTCCAATTATAATTATCTGACAATACATTCTCTTTAGCAATGTCTACCTAATTTTCAGAATTCAAAAGATGAAATGACACAGAAAATCTGCTGTTTCACACTGATTCATTTTTAGAGTCTATACTTTAAGGTATTTATAAGAAATCATAGGCCAGTGCCACTAACAAGAATATTACTAACTTTATTTCAATTCAATGAGAACAAAGTTGGGGCCAAACTTCACTAATAATCCTCATACTAGTGAAATTTCTTAAAGATATTTGACAGACTGTCCTGATGAGAATCATGGTTTTACAAGTTCCATTACAGGTACAGTTCTACTTTATATAACATATGTAGCTATGAAGTTGTTTTTGGTTTAGGGATGTAGCTCAGTGGGAGAGCACATGCCCAGCATGCCTGAGGGGGGCGCATGCCTGCAATCCCAGGAAGGCAGAGATCAGGGAGGATTTAGGTTTGAGGATAGCCAGGCAAAAAGTTAGCACCTCAATCAATAAACTGGGCATTGTGGTGCACACTTGTGATCCCAGCTACACAGGAGGCCATAGGCAAGAGGATGGTGGTCAAAGACCAGCCCTGGTATCTGAAAAATAACTAAAGCAAAAGGGCTGTGAGGATGGCTCAAGTGGAAGAGTGCCTGGCTAGCAAACACAGGCCATGAGTTCAAACCCTAGTACCACCAAAAGAAAAAAAAAAAAATCTATCATAAGTGAATAAAGTTTTTTCCAAAACCAAATCTACTAAGGATATAGATTAAAATGTCATCAAAGCTGGGCAAGTCAACAAATCACATCCATGCTCTGAGCATCTACTCCAGGCCAGGTGCTGTCTAGCAGTAGGAAGTCCAAAGGGGAATCAGGAAGTTCTTACCCCCTAAGAAACTCGAGGAAGAAAGTCCTGGGAACAAATTTGTTACAATACACTTAGTATACTAACTATAACAACACAAAACCTGAAATATAGTCATCCCTAGGTTTCCACAAGGGATTGGATACAGGTCCCCCTGGATATCAAAATCGGCAGATGCTCAAGACCCTTATATAAAATGGCATAGGAAATGTCGCTATACTTAATGATTACTTATAATGTCTAACACAATGTAAATATTATGTGGATATTTGTTATACTGTTGTGTCTAGGAAAAGTCTGTACATGTTCAGTACACAAGGATACCCATGGATATAGAGAGCCAACTGTACTTGGAACTAGGTAGCTTAGACGTAATATAAATGTTTCTTTACATCACAAAGTAAGGCAAATCTTTCTATCAGCGTGAAGTTTGGTACAGAACTAGGCACACTGTATACACTGCATAAATATTTACCTCTCTTTTCTAATGCTGCCATGGAATACTGGCAATAATAATCACACCACATTCACTGAGGTTGTTGTCTACAAAGGAATCAACAGAACTTTTCTCTTCTGCATAAATAATTCAAGCCCTGGGTGTCTACCACTCAAAGACTAATATGGATACCAACTCACAAAGCTGAAGTTACAGCATCCCATTTTAGAGGATTAGCATTTATATTTGACAATGTGGAAATTGTTATCTCAACATCCAAATGACATCCAAATCATTTTCCCAGGGACCTCAACTTGAACAGTACTTCTATCTCATGTTTACTAGTATAAACCTAAGGAAAAACCTGGTTTCTGAGACTCCTTTGCAGGCAGCGCAGTAATGCCCAGGAGGACGTACCCAGTACTAGGGAGTGTGTCACGGACACCCCTCCCCCTAACCAATCCACTGCAGCTGCCAACTCAAAGGACTTCCTGTATCTCTGTATTGGTGACTCACAGGAACAGTGCCACTCAAAAGGTAGGCATCTTACATGACATTCGTGCCATAAAAACTGCAAACTCAGAAGGCAGAGTCTGTCCACTGTATGGCTGAATCCAATAGCCACTAGCTGCAAAAGAAAAGGCATCAGAGCAAGGTAAAGTGGGAAAATGGATGCACGGCAAGAAACTGAAAAAGGCCCATAGAGAAGGAAAGAGATGAAGAGAACTAAGTAGTAAATGCAAGACTGACAAGGAGCTTCAAAGTAAGAATCATAATGTCAAGTACCTTCAGCCCTCCTTATCCATGGTTGCATAGCCTCAGATTCCACCAACCATGGATTAAAAATACCCAGGAAAAAAACTGCATTTGTACTGAGCAGACATCTTTTTCCCTGTCATTATTCCCTAGACACTATAGTATAACAACTATTTTATTTCCATAGCGTTTATACTATATTAGGTACTGCAACTAACCTAGAGATGATTTAAAGAATATGGGAGTGCTGGGCACCAGTGGCTCATGCCTGTAATCCTAGCTACTCAGGAAGCAGAGATAAGGAGGACTGCAGTTCAAAGCCAGCCCAGGCAAATAGTTTGAGAGATCCTATCTAGAAAATACCTAACACAAAAAAAGGGCTGGTGGAGTAGCTCAAGGTGTAGGCCCTGAGTTCAAGCCTCAGCACTGCAACAACAGCAAAAGAATATGGGAGAGACAGGCATGGTGGTGTAGGCCTATAATCTCAGCACTTGAAAGACCCAGAAAGAGTTGGAGGCCTGCCTGGGTTACATAGAGACCCTATCTCAAAATCAAAAACAGCCAGGCACAGTGGCTCACATCTGTAATCCCAATTACTAGGGAGGCTGTAGGTCAAGAGAACTGCAGTTTGAGGCCATATGGGACAAAAAGTTAGAGAGACACCCCCCCATCTCAACAAAAAAGGTGGGTGTGACAGCATGTGCCTGTGTTCCCAGCTACGATGGAGGCTTAAGCAGGAGGATCCCAATCCAAGCCAGCCTGGGCAAAAAATGTAAGACCCTCCATGAAAACTAACTAAACCAAAAAGGGCTGTGGGTGTGCCTTAAATGGCAGAGCACCTGCCATTTAAACCCCATACTGCCAAAAAAAAAAAAAAAAAACCCAAAAACCAAGTATATGGGAGGATGTGCATGGATTACATGCTACTCCCAGCATTCGCAGGTTTTGGTATCTGAGGGGGGTCCTGGAACGGATCCCCGACAGATAATGAAACCACCGTACTATCATCTCCCTCTTCTAAGGGTAGGGAGCTGAGCTAAGTTTTCAGGGTATCTGGTCTGTAAGTGGTCAGTTCCAATGACTGAGCCCAGGGCCTCCACCATCACGCTATGTACCACTGAGTAAAACCAAAGCAGAGTTGACAACCAGCAAAAAGCTCTATCAGGGAAATATACATGATGCCAACTAATCAATGCATGACTTTACTTGAGAAAGATTACCGCATGGTTCTGCCCACACCGGCATCACTTCAGAAAAATGTGTTAGATCCTGTGTGTGGCCCCACATAGTGCTGGTTATCACCATTAGCGAAGCCTCCTCACGATGGGCGCTGTTATACAACATATATAGTCCCTACGCAAAGGAGATGGCGTTTCTGACACTGTTTACTGGTATCAGGTGACAGTCTCCCAGTGCTAGCCATGGCCCTATTCAACAGATGCGAAAACGGAGGCTGGCAGAAGTGAAGTGGCCTGACTCCGAACCCGAACTTTCCACTGCACCATGTCGGTGCCGCCCACCCTCACAACACGTTCCTGGTTTTCCAACGTCACTTAGACAGGCGCGACGAAGGAAAACCAAAGCCGCGCTGTGACCTTTACAGGTTTAAGCTGCCCCGCTGAAGCACCAGGTCGTCTTTACTAGGGATGCGTGTTTTCAAATCACGAATTCGACACGCAGGGGATGCCTGACAGGCGATCTCGGGGAACCCGGATAAGGCAGCAGGAACGCGCACGCCGCCCTCGTCTCGCAAAGGCCGGCCCGCGACTGCGGCCGCGCTGGGCCGGTGACCTTGACGCCCGCTCCTCGAGCCGGAAGCGGGCCCCGGGGCCGGAGCGAGGACGCGGGACTCACCGTCCGGAGGCAGGGCCGCCCCCTGGGGCCCACGCCGCTGCCGGGCACGAGGAGCGGCGGGAGGCCGCGGGGCCAGCAGCCGCCCCGGCCCCACAGCAGCAGGCAGCGGTGCGCCATGGCCGCGGCGCGGCCCGCTCGCCCCGGAGCGTGGGCTGGCGCGGCTGCTGCTGTGGGTGGCCGGCGACCCGCAGCCTTGGGAACTGGTTCGGTTCTCGAGGAACTACCAGCCAGCAGCGCAGCGGGACCGGGCTCACCAGCAAACCCCCACTCCCCACGCGTGCGTCTACGGCCGCCGGCCCCGCCCCAGCGTGCTGACGTTGACGTTCCCTCTCGGAGGCCGGCCACGCCCCCAGACAGGACTGGAGGCCGGGCTTAGTGGGTGAAGCGTATAGTGTAGTGGGCGGGGCCCGGGCGGGACTGGGATGGAGGGGGCAGGGTCTGCGGGCGAAGGCGGTGCTAGCAGGAAACAATAAAGGCTGCCGGGCTCTCAGGCAAAAGAAAAACGTCCCTTCCTTCCCAGTACTGGAAACTGACACTTTAGCATGCGCTCTTTCGTCACTTATCTGATACTAAGCGCCTACTCACTACAGGCACGGTTTTTTGTGACAAGGTCTTCCTATGTAGCCCAGGCTGATCTTCCTCCCTCGGCCTCCCCAATGCTGGGATCACAGGCGCAGTAACCACACCTGGCTCCAAAATACATCCCTAACTCCTCAGAAGGCAACGCAAAGAATCCTAAACCAGTGAGCTAAATGCCATAACGAAAATCCATCGGGAGCTGTTTCAAAGAGAAAGGACCTCATCATTTGGCGCGATAACTGCAGGGTGGTGACCTCTGCCAATGGTCTATGTGACATAAGTTATGTTATGATGGGAGAGGAATGGCGAAGGCAGAAGTGAAGCTGGAGGATGGTTGAAAGGTGGCACCAGAAATTCCTAAACACACAGGAAACGCTGGAAGAACAAAGATTAAAAATGTTAGTAGCATGTGTCACCTGTCACAGTGGCAAAACTCTAAGATTTTGACAACTCACTCTGCTGACTGGGCATTTTCATAAATAACTGGCAGTGTGGAGAATTGTGCAACCCCAGGAGAGGGGACTTGGCAGTGCCTCCTGAATAAGCACATGCAAATGTGTCCTGGGGACAAACTGTGTATAAATGCTGTGAGTACAAGGTTAATAACTGCAGTATGATTTGTAGTAACATTGATTGAAAGTAACCTAATGTCCATCTATAGGACCTGATTAAAATTATGAAAAGTCAAGGATGACAGAATGGCTCAAGTTGGTAGAGTATCTGCCTAGCAGGCATGAGGTCCTGTGTTCAAACCCCAACACTGCAAAAAGAGAAGAAGAAAAGAAAAATCCACCCTATGTAATACTATGCAGCAATATTTTCTTTTTCAAATGAGAATAATTTCTGCAGACAAGCTAGAGCCACAAGACCTGAAATAACTAGAGAAAAAAGACAAGATGCATAAAATAAGATTCTGAAGACCATAAGCATTAGAAGACAGCCATCCCTGACAGACAGGAGACAAACAAGGTAGAGCCTCTGAATACCCCAGCTTCTTTCAGGAGATGTTTCCTGACCTTGGTGCACATAGAGGAGCTGAACAGAGACCAACTGGGAGGCTCCCTCAGTCTGGGTAGACCCATCATGAGGAGGAAAGATCAAGCAATTGCAAATGACTCAGAAGTGATCCAAGCCATACAATTATTAGATAAGGACACTTAAAATAATTTGTATAGCTGCTTTGTACATAGGTAAAAAATAAAAGAAAAAATTGCATGTATCAAGCATAGACATAGAACTGGAATAAATAAAAACTAACTGCACATGTAGAGATGAAAATTACAGTATCTGAAAAACAGTGGGACTGGAAGCATGGCTCAAATGGCAGAGGGCCTGCCTCACAATCATGAAGCCCTGAGTTCAAACCTCAGTATCACCAGAAGAAAAAAAAAACAGATAAAGTAGAAAATATACCACATCCCTGAAAAAAGATACTGAATGGCAGATTACATTACACAAAAGATTAGTGAATTTAAGACATAACACAAAAACTGGTATAAACATGGAAAGTGAAAAAATTAACAAAACACCCATAAGCCATGGGATCCCTAACATAGTGCCACTGGAGTTCCCTAAAAGAGGACAGAGTCAGTCAGGGACAGAAAAAAATATTTGAAGAAATAATGGCCAGAAAAATTCCAAATTTGGGAAAACCACAAACCCATACATCTAAAAGCTCAATGAACCACAAATACAAGCATCATTCAAAAAATTTACTCAGGGCTTTCCAGAGATATAGAACGAATAGGAGATAGACAGATAGAAAATGGATGGACAGATAGATAGACAGATATGGACAGATGATAGATAGATGATGGATAGATAGATTACAGATGATAGATAGATAGATCAATGAGACAGGGTTTACTAGGAGAATTAACTGATGTTATTATAGAGGCAGAGAAGTGCTACTGCAGGCCATATGTAAGCTGGAGACCCTGGGATGTTGGTAGTGTGGGTCAGTCCGAGTCTGAAGGCTTTTGAACCCAGCAAGGAACAAGGGGTGCTGATCTCAGAGTCCAAAGGCTGAAGGGCCTGAGGGCAAGAACAGAAGGGGTGCCAGCTCCAGGAGAGACAGAGAAAGAATAATGATACTGTTTCTTTGCCTTTTTGTTCTGTCTCTGCCACATTGAGGGCAGACCTTCCCCACTCAGTCCACCATCTCCCTTGCCAGTTTCCTCTGGAAACACCCTCACAGGCACAGAAATAATGCTTCACCAGTTCTTAGGTAATCCTTAATCCAATCAAGTTGACCCCTAAAAGTAACCATCACTACCAGTGATTTAAAAAAAAAATTCTAAAAAGCATCCAGAGGAGGAAGACAGGTACAGAAAAACAAAGATAAGGATTTCAGCTTGTGGGAAACTATGAAAGTCAGAAGGCAGTGGAATAATATCTTTAGAGTAGTCAAAGAAAATTGTCAACTTAGAATTTTTTATCTAGTGAGATATCTTTAAGGAACAAAAAATAAAAACAGGTCTTTGGCAGACATACAAAAGCTGAAAGAACTCATCAGGAGCAGAGCGAGGAAGAAATAATAACATTGACCCCAGGTGGAAACCGGAGTCTACACAAAGCAATGGTGAGAACTGGGAAGAGAACCCAGTAGTAAATATGACTTTTTCTTACTTAAGTCTTTCACAGACATTTAAGAGAGAGTGGAAGGGAGCTGGAGGCATAGCTCAAGGGGTAGAGTGCCTACCTAGCAAGTATAAGGCCCTGAGTTCAAATCCCAGTACCAAAGAGAAAGAGAGAGAGAGGGAGAGAAGGAAGGAAGAAAAAAGGAAACAAAGAAAAAGAAAGAAAAGCAGGAAAGGAGAAAGGGAATAGGAGAACAAAGAACAGTTGAGACAAATAGAAATAAAATAGCAACATGCTAGATTTAATAGCAGTCATATCAATGATCACAAACCACAATGATCACTAAACACAAGCCATCTATATACCGAATTTAAAGGCAGAGATTTTCAGACTGGCTAAAATAGCAAAAATCCAAATTATGCTGCATTCAGAAACCCACTTTAAATATATAAACAAACTGATTAAAAGTAAAAGGCTGAAAAATGTATATGATATTACCAGCAGGTTGCTAACAGCCCCAAATATCTCTGTACCCATTAGCAAACTTCATAATTCATTGAACAAAGACTAATGGACCTGCAATTTGCAATTACATTTACAGATTTCAAATCTTTCTGTTGATAATTGATAGAACAACTAGAAAATCACTAGTATGTAGAAGACTTCAACAGTGCAATCAACCAGCTAAACCTACATGATGTTTATAGGAAACTTTCCCCAAAAGCAGCAGAATGCAAACTATCTTCAAGTTTGTAGGGAGGATTTATCCACAGAAACCATATTGTGAACAAGACTAAAAGAAATGAAGTCACACACAGTGTGCTCTCTGACCACATTGGAATGGAATTAGAAATCAATGTCAATGCTGGGCTCTGGTGGCTCATGCTGTAATCCTAGCTACTCAGGAGGCAGAGATCAGGAGGATCGAGGTTCAAAGCCAGCCTGGGCAAATAGTTCATGAGACCCTGTCTTGAAAAAATCTTACACACAAAAAAGGGCTAGTGGAGTGGCTCAAGATGTAGGGCCTGAGTTCAAGCCCCAATACCACCCCCCTAAAAAAAAGAAATGAATATCAGAAATGCACCAAGAATATCTGCAAACCCTTGTAAATATAATAACCCACGTGTCAAAGAAGAAATCAAAAGGAGAATTAGAATGTATTTTAAACTGAATGAAAACAAAGCATCACATCCACTCCAAAACTTATGGGGTGGTGCTAAAGCAGCAATTAGGTGGATTTTTGTTTCACTAAATGCTCATATTAAGGAAGAAGAAAGTTTTCAGATCAATGGCCTCAGCTTCTACTTAAGCAACACTAAAGCAAAAAAAAAAAAAAGAAAAAGAAACCCACAGAAGAAAGAGAAAATCCCAAAAGTTGGTTCTTTGAGAAGATCAATAAAATTGACCAACCTTTAGCTAGTCAAATAAAGAGAAAAGGAGAGGTTGCAAATATCTAAATTAGAGTCCTGGGTGTAGCCCATGGTGGGCCGCTTGCCTAACACGTTCAAGGCTCCAGGTTCTACCCCCAGCATTACAAAAAGATAAAATAAAATAAAAATAGAAATGAAAGTGAGGCCAGGTGCCAGTGGCTCTCACCTGTAAACCTGTAATCCTAGCTACTCCGAAGGCAGAGCTCAAAGCCAGGCCACGCAAATAGGTCCTGAGACCCCAGATAGATCTGCTTCAGATTTTTCAATGGCCTCAGCTTCTCTTAAGCGCAACGACTAAAGCAAAAAAAAAAACAAGAACAAAGAGAAGCGCCACCAGAGAAGAAAGATGAAAATCCCAAAAAATGACTGTATAGGTTCTTATGAGAAGATCAATAATGAATTGGACCAACCTTAGCTAGTTCAAATAAAAGAGAAAGAGGAGGCGAATTAGTTTGGGCAAAAATCTAAATTAGTAGTCCTGCTGGTGTTAAGCCCATGGTGGAGTCCGCTTGTGCCTGTTACACGTTCAAGGGCTCCATGGTTCTACCCCAGCATTGTCAGCAATAAATGATATAAATAAAATTACCAAAATAGAAACTTGAAAGGAGGCAGTTAGGTGCCCAGTGGGCTCTCACCTGATAACAACCTGTCAATCCTAGCTACTCCGAAGGCCCTGGTGACGGTTGCTCAAAGAGCTCCAGTGCCCACGCAAATAGGTTCCTAGATGAGACCCTATGTTGAAAATATCCAACAAAGAATAAGGGGCTGGTGGAGTGGCCTCAACGTGATGGCATTGCTGCCTGATGTGGGCAGAGCGCCGCTACGTTCAAACCCCAGTACTGCAAAAAAAAAAAAAAGAAAGAAAAAAAGAATAAAGAGTAAGCCGGCCACAGTGGCTCTGGCTCATGTAATCCCAGCAATTTGGGAGGTTTATATCAGTTGGAACTCAGTGTGAGGCCAGCTGCATTAAAAAGTTCACAAGACCCCATCTCAATGAATAAAAATCTGGGAGGGCATGGTGGCACATCCTATTATCCCAGGAATCATAAATACGGAAAGCAAAAAGGGTTGGGGTGTGGCTCAAGTGGCCCAAGACCCTGAGGTCAAACTCCACACCACCAAAGAGAAGAAGAAGCAGAAGGTGAAGGAGGAGGAGGAAGAGGAAAAGGAGGAGGAGAAGAAGGAGAAGACTTAATCTTTCTCAAACTTTCCCAACAATAGAAGAAGGAGCAGTCCCTATTCTTTTACATTCTGTGAGACGGAGTTATTGTTCTCATTTCTCTGACTCCAAAGCCAGATGGACATTAGGACAAAAGAAAAATACAGACCAATATTCTTTATGAGTAGACATGGAAGCCCTGAACAAAACCCCTGGAAACTAAATATAGGGTTGTGTATAATTTTATGCATTTGAAGAATTACGCATCATGATAAAGTAGGATTGAGCTCCGGAATGTAAAACTGGTGAAACAGAAGAAAAGTTAATTAATGTAAAGCATTATGTTAATGGATGACAGACAAGGTCATATCTTCATCTCAACTGATACAGACAAGGCATTTGAACAAAATTCATCACCATTTCATGATGAAAAACTCAATAAAGTAGGATTAAAAGGGAAATTCCTCAATGCACTAAAGGCACTTGTGAAAAACCCCTAGTTAATGTCAGACTCATGATAGTCAACTCTCAATGAGATTCCTCTTCCCACTTACTAGGACGGCTATGATAAAATTAAAAACCAAAGAGGCAGCCTGTGTTGGTGAGGCTATGGAGAAATGTATTGCTGATGGGAATGTAAATGGAGCAGCTGCTAGGGAAAATAGTTCAGCAATTTGAAAAAAAAAAAAAAAAGCTAAACGGAGTTTATGGTGCCAGCAATTCCACTCCTAAGTATGTGCCCAAAAGAACTGAAAACAGACAGTCTGGCAGCACTATTCACAAGACCCATCAAGTGGAAACAACCCAAGCATCCATGAATGGACAGGCAGACAAAATGCAGTGTGCATTTCGAACATGGAAATATTCTTAAGCTATAAAATGGTTGCAGTTATATGGGCTGGGCTATAGCTTAGTGGTGAAGCATTTGCCTCACATGTGTGAGGCTCTGGGTTCAAGACCCAACATGGGGGAAAAAAAAGAACAATGATGTTCTAAGCATGCTACAACATAGATGAACCTTGAAAACTTCACGCCCAGGAAAACAAGCCAGACACAAAGGACAACTATTGTCTGATTTCGCTTAGGAGAAGTGTCTAGAATAGGCAGCATCATAGACACAGGAAGTAGGTTAGCGAGGAAGGGAGGATGGGGAGCGACTGCTGGGTGGTTATAGAATTGAAGGAGTTTCTGAAACGGTGCTGCCGGTGCCGTGTGAGTGTAAGGATGCTACTTACTGAGCGCTGCATGATTTCGTGGTTGAAATGGCAAATCTTATGTGGTAAGTTATCACAGTAAAAAGTGAGAATAAGCTTCAATTAATTAAAAAAAAAAAGGTCAAACCTTGGAAACGGTGTACCGAGTGACAAGACAGCAGCTGTGAAAGGTCACACAGTGTGCCTGCATTTAGATGAAATGCTAGGTGGGCAAATCTATGAAGACAGGTAGAGTGGCTCCTAGATCTGCTGGAGGGTTGGGGATGAGGTGGGATGGGGTGAGTAACAGTGAAGGTTGGGGGTTTCTGTTGGGAGACAGTGGCACAACTCTGAACAAACTTAGGTTTTTAGTGCATGGAGTGCATGGTATCTGAAACTTTTTTTTTTAATGGGCAAAGACCTGAATAGATATGTCTCTGAAGAAGATATACAAATGGCCTAAATAAACACATGAAAAGATATTTGATGTCACTAACCCTCAGGAAAAGGCAAATCAAAAGCACAATGAGATTGTACTTCTCATTCTAGGATGGCTATGATAAGAATGATATAGAGGACTAGCATAGCGGTGCACACCTGTAATCCCAGCACTCAGGAAGCTGAGGGAGGAAGATACAGAGTTCAAGTTCGGCCTGGGCTACATTGTGAGACTCCATCTAAATAAAGGAAATGACAGGTAGGTAGATAGAGAGAGAGAGATGATAGATAGATAGACAGATGATAGATAGATAGATAGATAGATAGATAGATAGATAGATAGATAGATAGATAGGAAAGGAAAAGCCTCTCAATCAGCCATCCTCCATCCTGGAAAGTGATGAGACACATAGGAAAGTAATTTTTCTCGTGGGTCTCCCGACGGTTTTTACGTGTTTGAAAGCATATGAAATTTATTTTCATATGAAGCCATTCTTACACATCTTGACTTTTTGCCTAATGTTATCTCTGCACATTAACAGCACACAGGTCCCCCATCCTTCCATCAGCTCCACTGTGATCTCTTGCAAAGGTTTAGCAGTTTTCTAGCCAACCACCGTTTAAATAGCTTCTGATTTGTTTTCCTTCCAGATGACACAATGAACATTCTTATTATGTGTGTGAGAGAGACCGTATCCATTCAGAGGGTGATTTCCTAGCCGAGAGATTTTACGTAAAACATTTGAAAAATAATTAGCAAGAGTGTGGGGCTGGGATCTTGAGCTCAAGGGAGCTGTGCTGCATGTGCTTCTCCACTAGATGGCAGGAGAGGACTACAAAGCCCTAAGACAACTGCATGGTGCATTTTGAAGTTTTAAAATGACGTTCCCAAGGTTGGTCTGGATCATCATTTTTTTTAAATTGCTTTTTATTTTTATTATTGGCAGTATTGCGGTTTGGCCTCAGGACCTCATGCTTCCTAGGCGGGAGCTCTAGTGCTTGAGTCACTCCATCAGCCCTTTTTTGAGTTGAGTTTTTTCAAGATAGGGTTTCTGGACACTATTTGCCCAGGCTGATCTCCAACCATGATCCTCCTGATCTCTGCTTTCTGAGTAGCTAGGATTACAGGTGTGAGACACCACCCAAGCTGGATTTTTTAAAAAGTTATTTATCTGTGCACATTTTCTCTGAATGCCATGGTTTTTTTTTCCCCCTAAGGCAATTTCCAGGGTGCTCATGGTTTCTACTGCTGTTTTCCTGCTGTGGGAGTGTAAAAAACAATGTTCACTTAACATTCTGTAGATAGCAATGAAAAAATGATGGATTATGACATCGACACGGGGTGATAACAATGCAGTTGCATGAATGACGGTAATAGGACATTTAGAATATGCTTTATCACCACGTTACCGAGTGAGCAAGTGTTTTTCTCTAACTATTGACCACAAAAGTATAGCAAAGTACACTAGCCATGTCATGAAGTCCCTAGATTGGAGCTGGGGCTGCAGTTCAGTGATAAAGCTCTTTCCTAGTATGTGCTCGGCCCTAGCTTGGATCCCTAGCACTGAAAACAACAACTTCTTAGATTTTTCCCAACTGTGTCTTCTTGCAAGGAAACGATGGCTGCTTCGGGACATCAGAGTCCTTGGTCATACATCATTTTTGAGTGTGGTCCTGTGGTGCCAGCGGCACCATGAAGATGGGCTTCCAAGCCCAGAAGGAAGTGACTTGTCAGGTTTCTAGTGAAAAGCTATGTCAGCTGTCCTGGATAGAACGAAGAGCAATAAGGAGCAAAATGGAAGGTGTGTACTAGTGAGATGGACTGACTTCAGGAATTCCAGGGAGGGGTGATAAGTGGCAACACACCCCAGAAAATAAAGGATCACATTAATATACTGCAGTTTAATGATACACTATGACACTTTGGCTATTTGAGGCTCATGACAGATGTGACCATATCCTTGGATTCCAATAAGCTTTTCTTTTGCAGTGTTGGGATTCAAACCCAGAACCCAGGCCTAGCACACGCTGCCCAAGGGCTACACCACTGGCGTACATCCCTAGCCCCTGCAGGTGCATTCTGCAAATGGGGTCTTGGTGGCAGGGGACTTTGAACCCCTAGCCGTCTGCTGTTTGCTCTGATGGCATGGCAGGTGGGGGATGTCTTACCCCCTCATTGGCGAATAAGTAACACAGTTGAGCCTGAGTTTTGTCATAGTTCTGGGTAAGGAATGAAGCCAGTATCTGTGGCAACTGGGCAAGAAGCAACTCCAAAAGTTCTTCAAAACTTCTTCCTGCTGGGAGACTGACTTTCTCCTTAAGGTAAAAAAAATACTCTGATACAGCAAGTTTCAAATTCATTGATCTGTTTTTAGCAGCAATGCCTTTTGTTGAAATAAATAAATAAAATAAAATTTGGCATGAAACTTCAATTTAGAGAATCTAAATAGACAATAAAGAAAAAAGAACTGGGGGCTGAGCTCAGCACATAATTAGCATGCTTGAGGCCTTGGATTTGACAAACAAACAAGCTAAAGCCAGGCCTGGTGGCACAGTCCTGTAATCTCTGCATTGGGGGGTTGAGGTAGGGGGTTCATGAGTACAAGGCTAACCTGGGCTACAGGATGAGACCCAGTCTCAAAAAAACAAAAGAAAGATAGGACCACGGGTAGAAAAACCTGTGAATTTACCCTCAGGTGGCTAATAGAACCTTAGGGTTTTCCAGAACTGGGTTTGAACATACCAGACCAGACAGCTATCCAGAGTCATCCTAGGTGCTGCCAGCCCAGCAGATGTCAAGCCACTCCCAGCCACTCCCAGGTTTAGGACCTCCCCAGAAGACATCCTTGACTCATTGAACAAGCAATAGGCCAGCACCTCCTGTTTACCAGGGACTAGGTACACAGCAGTGAACGAGGCTCAGCCCTGTCCTCAGAGAGCTCAGAGAGTCAGTACTACCTTCCAAATTACTAGAGTGCATTCTAAGTGCCCAGGGCACTCATCTGAATTATTTCTGAGCCCCACCCTGGAAATGCCATTCAAAAGATAAGGAGCAAGGCCTAGGACCCCGCCTCCTTAATAAGCTGGAAGCCAGAGGGAGAGACAAATGAACCCATGCAGGGTTGCAGGGCCTTGTTGAGGAAGGCTGCAGGCATACAGGAGGGTGTGAGGGGCTTCGGTGAGGCCAGCAAGGCACACCAGCAGAGGCAGATCCTCAGGGAAAAGTCACAGCCATTGAGGGCAGAGGATGGCACCATTCTGTGGGGCCAGGTGGGAGCAATGAGAACAGTCAAGAGGCTGTTAATGTCCCCCAGTGGAGGAATCCAGAGAAGAGGCCACTCTGGGCCACAGTCAGGGATGGTAAGACCAGCATGGACACTACTGAGAGTTGACCTCTGTGTTGGTCACAAGTGTTGTCCACTGCCTGCAGGCTCCTACACTAAGGACTATTTATGTTCTCCTTTCATTCTCACCAGTATCCTAGGGTTGCCACTACTAGCTTTCCATGTCCCGGATGGTGACCATGTTGTGTAGAGCAGGCAGCCTTACAGAGGGTGTCAGGACCATTCCCTGAACTTGATCTGTTCACCCACATCACCTCCTACAGGATGGGGCTGGAGAATGGGCTACAATATCCACAAGAGACAAACCTGAAGGACCTGATGGCTGACTGGCTGTGGACCGCGATGACTCCAGTTCTCAAGCTTGGAGCATGATGGCTACAATGTCACATAGGAGTCTGAAGAGGATTTGGCTAGGGAGGAAGGGACATGGGGCTGCTGAGGTGTTGTGGGGACCTAGGGAGTAACGTGAGGACTGCTGAAGCTGGGGTCTGAAGTTGGGTGGTAGTTTGAGATGGGGACGTTGACAAGGGAGTCAGTGGGAACCCACAAGCCTCAGTGAGTTCCCAGGGAAGGAGGACTAGTCAGAAGAGAAGAGGAATTCACACAGGCACTGAGGAAGAAAGCGTCCCTACTGCCCAAGGGAGGAGAGAGACAATTGTGCTCCATCTTTGGAATGCAGTGCAGAGGCCTGGCAGGACAGGGATTGACCAATGCCTGCAGGGCTGGAAGGCTGGAGGCGACCTGATAAGGACCATGAACAAGTCACTCCAGGAGCCCTGTTGACTTGTGGAGACACATAAGCAGTTTTTAAAAAGGATGGAAGAAGCTGGGCACTGGTGACTCACACCTGTAATCCTATCTAATCAGAGGCAGAGATCAGGAGGATCATGATTCGAAGCCAGCCAGGCAAATTAGTTTGAGAGACCCTATCTAGAAAACTCATCACAGAAAAGGCTGGTGGATGGCTCAAGGTGAAGGCCCAGTACCACACACACACACACACCACACACACCACACAGCATAGAGAGAGTGAATGTGAGTGTGGACCATTCTTTGGGGGTGCTTGACAGATCTGTCCAGAACACCTTGAGCCAGACTCATCTCTGCTGAGCATTCCTAGGACAGAAGCATTGAGCCACTGAACATTTAGTTTAAAACATTACATCTGACTGGGCATGGAGGCTCATGCCTGTAAACCCAACTGTTGGGAGGCGGAGGCAGGAGGATCACAAGTTCAAGGCTAACCTGGGCTACACAGCAAGACCCTGTCTCAAAACAAACAAAAAAACCTTACATCTGTGAGTGATCAGGGCTCACACCTTGTTTTCTACAAACCCCAAACAGCCCAGCTTGCTCATTTGGGATGGACAGAGGTAAAAATGGATGAAACAACTCTAATCCTGAGATCTTTTAAGCATCAACAGACAGGTGCGGGGCAAGGGGGAGACTTTTTGTTTTGTTTTTCTAAGTTGGAAGAACTTGGCCACATTGATAATCCAGAGGGGATATGGGGAATGGCTAACAGTTGGAAGACAAAAAAATTCCAGAGGTGAAGACTAGTGAAGGAAGTTCCTAGGGCTGAGGAGAGATGGAGGCCAGTGAGGGGGCTTGGCCTGTGTCTGAATGACCCTGTACATTGGATATTACTGTGTCTGACACTGTGCTAGTCAGACAGACTAAATTAGGGACATTAGGGCCTGGGAAGCAGAGCCAGGAGCTAAGAATGAGCACTGTAGTCCTAGGTAACTTGAAGTCTCCCACTTCCCACGGCACTGCAGCAGCTGGTCACGCCTTCAGCCTTACACCGGCCATTTGCTGGACCTCTGGATAAGCATGCCGTGAGTAATTATCTCAGGGAAACATCTGGTAAAGCTCATCCTTGGACTAAAAGGAGATCCTGTTAGTGATCCTAACGACAAGCTTCTCTGCCCTAAATAAACATCTTCTAAAAGAAAGCACCTGGCGGATTCACAAACATTTATCACCTGCATCAATGAAGGAGACTCGGTCTCTGTGGGTCCCAAACTTATCAGCTATATAATTAAAGGAGGGTTGTCACAGCAACGACAAACATGCCAAATGGCCTGAATGAAGAAGCACACACAGAGATGAGAACCCGTGGACGCCTAGACTGACCTGAGCCTTGTAAATGTTCCTCACACAAAGGACATGGCACTTGACCTGTGTCCACAACTCCAGCCTCCTGGGATATACTGTTTCCTGCTTTGCTAAGCAAAACTGCCATAGACTTCTCACCTAACTAGACTCATCCTTAAATTTTTTTCTATGATATTGTCACTAGCTTGGTCAGCATCTGGGCCACAAACATAGCACCCTGTGTCACCAACTCAGCACCCCAGGTTGATGCTATGATGTCAGGGAACCTCCCTGATTTGAACTGGTCCTGGTTCTGTCGACACAAAGGTTCATGACCACTTAAGATCCATCTAACCATTTCATAGAGAAATTAAGCAAGATGCCTGAGATCAGACACCAAGTAGCTGTAAGGTGCTGGCACCTGGGTGGGCTCACTCCAAGGGTCCTTGCCCTTGCCCGTCACAAATTCAACATAAAACTCTATGCTTTAGAAGCAAAGGGTCTGAGGGCAATAGAGGTCACAGCTCTTGGCTTTGTTTTTTTCCACATAGGAGGAATCGAAGTCAGCAGCCCAGAGTGGGAGGGAGAGTGGGAAAGGCTGGGATCAGCCAGGAGGCGGGGAGGATGCTGACCATGGGTGAGTCAGATTATATGCATTGATGGCATTCAGCAATAGGCCACTTATGACGTAACTGTGAGTCCCCAGCTAAGGAAGGTCTCAAGTGAGCTGAGAAGTATATCTTTAAATACCATTTCCTTTTCTTTTCTTGTTTTTGTTCTTTTTCCCTTCTTTCTTTTTCTCTTTCTTCTTCTTCTCCCCCCTGCCTCCGGGTACTTGGGTTTGAACTCAAGGCCTTATACTTACTAGGCAGGTGCTCTTTCTTCTGCTTGAGCCACGCCTCCAGCCCAGAACCATTTCTTTATACTTCCATTCTTAGTGCTGATTTTACCCTCCTGCTGGTAGTGAAGGGGAGTGCACAAGTTCCTGAACTTACACAAAGGAGGAGAAGTCTTAGGAATTGCTCTTTCAACCAAGAGATTCCACCTCCCCTCTCCCAAACTCTCAGCAGTCTCCCTCGTGTCTCCCTGACAGGAGTTGGGTCACATGAGGGCTCCTGAACCAGTCCTCTACCCCCTCCCAGGAGAGGGAGAGAAACAGTCTTCCCTGAGGCACTGACTGAGGGAACTGGCCCTGACATAAGGTCAAGGTTCTTTTAGGAAGGAAGAGTGTCCCTAGGGTGGGATATTGGAGTTTGAGGTTTAAAAAAAAAAATCCTGATACATAAAACAAAAATTGCTGGGTGCCAGTGGCTCATGCCTATAATCCTAGCCACTTGCGAAGCTGTGATCTGGAGGATTGAGGTTCGAGACCAGCCGGCGCAAATAGTTCTGGAGCCCTCCATCTCCAAAATAACCAGACCAAAATGAACTGGTGGTGTGGCTCAAGCAGCAGAGTGCCTGCTTTGCAAGTGCAAAGTCCTGAGTTTGCCTGCTTTGCAAGTGCAAAGTCCTGAGTTTGAAACCCTGTTCCCCCCCTGGAGTTTGGGAATTACAAGCCTTGGCTTCTGGAGGAGTCCTCACATGGGTGCTCAAAGAGCCCAGAAATTAAGGCAGGAGATGGTGTTGTTGGGGGTGAAGATAGAAAGAGGAACACGGCCAGCTTGCCGGCCCCTGGTCAGTGGAGGGACGATGAGGCAGTTGTAGGTGGACTGTGACACAAGGAAGGGGGCAGGGAGGCCCTCTCTGCTTTTTCCTGAAAGCCCAGCTGACTGTGAGTGCCTTCATCCTTTGCAGGTCTTAGCCCCACTGCCCAGGTGCAGGTGAGTGCTCATCTCTCACCTGTTTTGGGACATCCACTCCTCTATGTGTCCCTGCTCTCCCCTGGACTCCCTGTACTTGGATGTTTGGCCTTGGTACATTGGCATCACCTGAGGCTTTCAATGTCCTGATGTCTGGACCACACTAAGTCCAGTTAAGTAAAGATCATGAAGCAGGATCCAGGTGGTAATTCAGAAGCTCCTTGGCTGCACTGCTGCTTGCCTGACCCCTCCTCTTAAAGCAGTGGAGCACTCTGACCTTTCAACCCGGAAACATTTGTCAAGACCTCCTACTTTCCAGGTGCTGGGCATGCAAAGGCAAAAACGACACTAGTATCCCCTCCATAAAGACGTCCTCCTAGGGGCTGCTATTATGATAGGGGACAACAGCTCTGTGTCAGAGCTGGGGTCTAGGCATCCAGGAGCCACTTACCAAAGGTGTGGGAAGGAGTTCAGAGACTTTCCAGAAAGGCGGCCTGCTCACTTCTCCCACAGCCACCCCACACACGTGCTATGTCCAGCCTGGGTTGGAGTTATCTTGTCTCAGGGATTTCCAACCTTGCAATTCCTCCAAGATCCAGCAAGAAACAGCAAACCGCCTTCATGCATTGGTTCCTGCCCTTACCAGCCTCAGGCCTCTACACTTTTCCTACAGTGGATGCCACAGTCCAGCCTTACTCAGGACCTTTTCTGGGGTGTGTGGCAGGGTGTGGAACTCAGGACCTCTAGTGTGCTAGGCAGACATTCTACCACTGAGCAGCACCCCAGCCCTGCAGCCTCCAAATAATTCAAAACTCTCTGAAAGTGCTCTTACCCTCTCACCCCTGGACCTTTCCAGAGCCTCCCTCTTCCCCTGGAAGATGTTTCCAGGACAGCTTGGAGAAGGGCACTCAGGTGAGAAGAAACTGAAGATGAATAAATGTCTTGAGATGACAAGATGGACATGTATAGGAAACAACATGAGAACCAGGGTGGATAGTCACTGTACTTTGGGCCACGGGTGTCCTTTAGCACAGGCCTCGCCTGGTGGGCTTGTTAAACCACAGATACATCCTCCCAGTATGGATGCTGTGCTGCCAGGGGTCTCTGATGCCTAACAGACCCCAGGCAACGCAGCTGCTCCTGGCCCATGCTTGTGGAATAGAGAGAGGAGCGGTGAGGCTAGAAAGGATGGCTTTGACAGAAAACAGGGCTATGGGTACAGGATGAGAGGAGGTGACTTTCATCTTCTCTGTTGTGCACCTGCTATGTTTCTGATGCTGATATACTAAGAATAATAACACAGTTTCTGATCTCAGAACTTTTTCACCCCAGTGGGATAAGCAGAGAAGTAAATCAATATATAGCCTCTGCCTTTGCACAAGTGACAAATGTTTATTATGGTCTGTTAAAAACCTCTTCAGATTTGAGCAGTAGAATAAGCAGAACCAAATGTTAAGATGTCTGGGTCTTCCAGATTTCTAATTGCAGCTCTGTTTTTTCCTCCCTGTTCCTGGACAGGTTATTTGACCCTTCTGGCCAGTGAGTAGATGACAATAATACATCTATCTATAGGATTGTGATCAAGGGTTTTTGTTTTTTGATTTTGAATTTGGGATTGAACCCAGGGCTTGAGCATGCTAAGCATTCACTCTACCACTAAGCTACACCCCAACCTCCTTATTTTTCTAAGACACAGGGACTTGTACTATTTAGCCCAGGCTGGCCTCCAACTCAAGATTCTCCTGCCTCAGTTCCCAAGTAGCTGAGATTGCAGTGTGAGCAACCACTCTGGCTGTTTTGAGTACTGAATGAGTTACTACACAGTGGAACCAGTACAGGTAGCATGTTGGGAGCTGACAAATGTATTGAATAAGCTGTGTGTTAGAGTTTGGCACAGCCCTATCCGCAGAAGGGAGCAAGTATAGTTATGCCCAGTAATTTGCAAACTTGGATTGGCACAGCCTCAGCTGCAGAAGAGGGCAAGATGAAGTACAGCTGTTTCCTAAGATGTTTATGTTCAGAGAGAAGTGGTCACAGGTTCCTCCTATTCCTGAGGATTTCAATGTCACCCCCCTCCCCCGAGAATCCTCTCCACCTCCTGTTGCTATTGTACATAATAAACTCACTAGAGGTGGGGGAGGTGTGTGTGTGTGGGGTGGAGGTGGAGGGTGTAGGGGTTGGGAGGGTGTTTGTGGGGTGGGAGGGTGAATGGGGAATGCACCCAGCCTGCCTGGCCCCAGCTTTGTGCATGTTTTGTCTTCTGTCCGTTGTCTTTTCTACATTTCCCATCGTCCTCAGGTTTTTAGGACAAGCTTGCCTGACATGAGAGAGTAGCAGGTGTGGGTGATCTAAAGATATTAGCGAGCAGTAGTTTGCACACCCGTCTCATTTATCCTCACAATAGTGCAGTGGGGAGGAATTGTTAGCCTCAGTTCACAGGTGAGAAAACTGAGGTTGGATGAATGTGTTTCTACTCCCCAGGCAAAATAAGTGGTGAGATGAGGTTTGGAGTCACACAGATGTGGCTTTGAATTCTGAGTCAGTCAGTGAACATTTTTTATCACCTCTGTGGCAATATCTGCCCAGTGCTCTAAATACAGGGCATTTGACAGGAAAGAGATTCTTCTTTCCCCTTTCTTGGAGGATTTTCTTTAGACAACTGGTAACTGCAAATTCTCCCCTCTCCCTCCACACCCCCATCTCTCTTTTCTCTTTCCCTACAGTAGTAGTGACTGAACAGGACTTCGTCATGCTAGGCAAGTACCAATCCTGCAGCCCAGGTTCTTTCTTTTTAAGTTATACATACATGCTTTTGAAGAGCTAAATTAGCCTAGTTTCAGGTTTACAGCCCAGAACCACTTTCTCTCCAGGATTTGGGAACCATCTCTTTGAAATGTTACCATCAAGGAAGACAGCATCCCTGTCTCACAGGGTCCTGGGAGGGTGGGAGCCCAACTTCCAGGGAGCAGCAGGCTTCTGTTTGCAGATGAACCTCCCATCCTGAAAACATGATATATTGCTTTTATTTCCTTTGGACAAGTGGAATTACCAAATGCAGGCTGCTTCTCCAATGACTAGGTGAATTGAGGATGAACTCTGGGACAAAAGGTGGTTATCAAAGTCTCTTCCTAGAGAGTATGGATGCAGTGGGTAGCGAGTTCCTGGCTGTTTTATAGAAGGGTGAGATTTTTTCTGCATTTTTATTCTCCTTAGAGGATTGCCTGTGGTGTGCATCCCATTCAGGTTTCATGCTCATGAAATGCCCAGACTGTTTTCCTTCTCCTCGACTTTTTTTTTTTTTCCTCCTTTTTTGGATGGGGTGGTAACTGGGGCTTGAACTCAGGGCCTTCACCTTGAGCCACTCCAGCAGCCCTATTTTTGTGATGGGTTTTTCGCAATAGGGTCTCTCCAACTATTTGCTTGGGCTGGTTTCGAACCGCAATCCTTCTCCTCTCTGCCTTCTGAGTAGCTAGGATTACAGGCGTGAGCCACTGGCGACCGGCTCTCCTCTACTCTTGTAGAGAGGGTTTTTTGGGGTTGAGATTTTGTTTTCCACATCCTCTCCCCAACAATAGAGTCCCGGGAGGTAGGAAAGGATTTTGGGAGAATTTGCTCAACCCCAGTAAGAACGGGCTGGTCTCCAGGCGTTCGGGGCCCGCGCGGTCTGGGTCCGCCCGCCTCCCCGCAGCAGCTCGGGTAGCTGGGTACCACCCGCCGCCTCCGGATCTGCATCCCTATTTTTGGCGCTCAGGCAGCCGGGCCACGTGACAACGGAGGCGGTGCCGCGAGCGCGCAGCCCCCGCCGCGCCCGGGCACAGCAGCTGGAGCGCCGAGTCCGGGCCGCGCGGTGCGGGCGGCCCGAGGCGATGAAGATCTGGAGCTCCGAGCACGTGTTCGGGTGAGGCGGGCCGCGGGCACCGACGCCACCGGGAACGGCACCCCAGACGGCGGCCTCCCTTCCAGGGCTGTCGCTGGTGGAGTCTCGTGGAGCTGCCTGCGGCGGGGCCGGCGGGATGCGGGGCTGCGGGCTGCGGCCTGCGGGCTGGGGCGGCCAGCTCCGGGTGCCAGGCTTCTCTCCATCCCGAGCGGGCCCGAACGCTCTGCGCGCGCTCCGCGGTGGGCCGGGGAAGGGACCCGGCCAGGGTGGCCTGCGGGACCAGCCCGGCCTGGTGCTGAGGTCGTGCGGTGCAGGGAGCCCACGCATTCCGAGGGTCCCTGCGGCCTTGAGCTGGGAGACAGCTACGGGAAGGCATTTAGGGGTCCTCGGCCCCGAATTCATTTGTTGGCATGGACGCCTCCAAGCCAGAGTGGAAAACCGCGAACTGCTTAAACGTGCCCCTGACCTAGGTTGTGTCTTCCAACGGGTCACTGCGCTGAAATCATTCTTTAATATCTTTAAAAAGAACAAAGACTTTTAAATTCCTGACCCCGCTTAGAGAAGCCTTTCGCTTCTTGCACGACACAGAATTGACATCCTTTGGATTTTTAAAATGTAAAATCATAATAAAAAACTCCTCAACTGGTTTCCAAACCTCTGAAAATATTTTTTGAATGGAATCTTTAGACTTGATGGGATCCAACTTTTTGTGTACAGCTTGCAGCGTTTCCCAAGCATGCCCTCCTGCAAAGCGGCCCCTGCTGGGTGCAGAGAGGAAGTTAAGTCATAGCATTAGATACAGGGTGCGGGGAATTGGGACTCGGTTTTCTCCCGGACCAGCTGAAGGACTGCCCTAGTAGTCTTGAAGCGTTGGCAGATGAGTGGCAGCTGTGAAAAGTCACTTTTTGGGGTGGTACTGCGTTTGAACTCAGGGCCTTGTTCTTGCTCTGCAGATGCTCTCTATCACCCGAACCACCCCCCAGCCCTTTCTGCCTTAGTTATTTTTCTGATAGGGTCTTCCTTTTTGTCCGGACAGGCCTCAGACCACAGTCCTTTGGATCTGGGCCTTCTGAATGGATGGAATTAACAACCTGGCCAACTGTTGTTACTTCTGGCTGTTTTGCAGCTGTCATCCCCTTATTTTAAAAGTTTTATTGAAGTATAAATTACATATCACTTAAGCCCTAGCTATAATATAAGTTACCCATTTTAAAGTATGTAATTACAATTTTTAGTATATTTATAGAAAATTTAAATTTTTTGTAAATGTGCAGCTATCACCATAGTTGTTTTAGAACATTTCCATCACAATCCATAGACCCTTGGTGCACACATGCAGTCACTTCCCATCCTCCCCCCCGGGCTCCCACTAATCTGTTCTGTTTCTGTAGATTTGCTTTTTCTGGACCTTTCACATAAATGTAATCACACAATGTGTAGGGTTTGTGCTTAGCATAATGCAGTAGCATGTGTTGGTACTTCATGCCTTCCCTCATTCCTTTTGTGTTCCTGGCACCCTGCCAGTGCCTGACACACAGTAGGTGCTCAGTAAGGGGCTGAGGATGCTTGCTGAGACCAGATGGTCTCCAGCAAATGTGTGCCCAGGCAGCCGGGCTTTGGAGGAGACAGGCTTGCAGCCAGATGACCTTCTAGCCAGGAGTAGGAGGGAATTTAGCATTAGGAGTAGGAATGGAAGTGCTCCCTCCTCTCCCCGCCACAGAACTGTCCCCCTCTCCCCAGAGGCAGCTGAGGCAGTGAATCTGGTGGTCATCGTATACCAAAGGTCCATGTGACTGCACGCTTACATTTATGTCCATATAACATACAGTTGGGTTTCTTTTTTTGAAGTGGAAATCAGTGGTACCATCTTGTGTGGATCTTCAGAGTGTTTTTGAGATCTGTCCATTTGGAGATGATTGAGTATACTAGCTGTGTAGTATGCTATTGTATGAGTATACCACAGTTTGTCCATTCTCTTACTGAAGGAACATTATTTTGCCCTTACTAAGCACACTGCAGTGGCCAGCCCCGTGTATTTCTGCCTCGCTTCATCAAGGGCTGTTAATCTTGATTGTCAACTTGACGGATTGAGAGCTGTCTACTCCCAGGTATCTGACAGTGTCTGGGGGGATGTGACCTAATCAATGGTTTCATCCATTGAGGATTCAAAATTTGAACAGACTTGGTAGGTGGTGGAACTATGGAAGGCAGCACCTGACTGGGGGAAGTGGGTCACTGGGGGAGTTGCTTTGATGGGCCTCTTTGTCTTATCCTTCTGTCTCCTGTCTACCTTGGGGTGAGTGGCTTTGTTCACCACCGTCCTGCCATGATGTTCTGCATCACTGTTGGCCCAGAAGCAACAGAGCCAACTGACCACGGACTGAAGCCTCTGGAACTGTGAGCCAAAATAAACCTTTCCTGCTTTTAAGTTGATGCTCTCAGGTGTCTGTCAGAGGAACTGAATGCTAACTATCACACAAGTGCCCACTTAGGCCAGCAGGTTCAAAGCTGTTTAGTCCTAAGAAGTCCTAAGACCACTCTTGGAAAATATGGACTCCAAACAGTTTTTGTTTATGTTGACTATATCTGTCAGTATTTACCATCTTAAAGAGCCAGGCTTGGTGGCCATGCCTGTAATCCCAGCACTCAGGAGGCCAAAGCTAGGGAATTGTGAATTTAAGGCAATCTGGGCCACAAAGGGAGAGCTTATTTAAAAAAAAAAATCCATATTAGAAATTATAATTGAAAAATTAAAAAATACTTATTCATTAACCTGAATGATAAATCTATTATGTTAACATAACATTTTAAAATAAGAAAACTGTATTTTCTAAAAATTAGAAGACTGGCACTTTTTAAGTAATACCAGTAACGTGTGGATTAATGAAAGATTTGCCCATCAAAGCCATGCTCCCAGTGACCACTTCCTCCAGTCAGGTACCTCCTTCCGTAGTTCTGCCACCTACTAAGTCCACTTGAATTTTGAATCCATCAATGAATGAATGAAACCATTGATTAGGTCAGTGCCCTCATAGACACTCCCAGATGCCTGAAGTAGACACATGTCAATCCAGTCAAGTTGACAGGACTTTGTCATATCTACTTAGCAGTCGGTGTTTTGTTGTCTTGTCTTGGTTGAAGTACATGGATAAACACCATACATACAGATGTGTAGTTGGAAGGTAAAAGTATTTAATAGTCTTTTAGGTGTGTAATTGTGGCTCTTGCTATCGTGTCAAAAATAAGATAGCCTTTTAAGAATCAGTTGCAATATAAAACAGGAAACTAACGAACAGAGATACTAGCTCCGTTACATAAAACTCAATGGCCGTGTTCACCCCGTTTATAGTGAGGGGCGGTCACCATACTCCTGCTAGTGGATACAGTTTTCTAAACTTCTAGTTTTCATTTGAAAGCTCAGATTTTATCTTTGGCCACAAATACTAATGGTTGTGTGCCCTGAAGTGACAGGCTCACTTCATGAAGTTTCCAGAAAATGCCTGCCAAACCTGCAAGTCTGAAGAGCAGTCTGTGCGTTGTTCTTTCAAGTACATTGCCAGGTGTGAGGGGCAGCGTCGAGCTGGGCTCCTGACCTGAAAAGCCAGCTAGTGCTCTTGAGCCAGCCGGGGAACTTGTTCTGAGTATTTCTGAGGCACTCTTTGTTCCCTTACAGAGCATGCCAAAGAGAAGGGTGCTGGGGTCAATGGCAATGAAATTCATCATTTTACATTTCATTCCATATTCCTAAGAGAACCTGGCACTGTCTCCCAGTGTGTGCAGAGGTGAGGAGTACAGTGATCAGGTTGCGGTTTGGAGCCTGGCCTTCACAGGTGGGGAGATTCCAGAATTTTCCCTCCGTTGCTTTGCTGCATCAGTGTAAATGTAGATACTGGAGAAGGGCCAGAAATGTCTGGGTGGCATTGTGACCAGAGCCCCCAGTGTGGGGCCCACCCTCTAAGGACCAAGGGTGTATTTGAGACTTTTTCTCTTATTTGTGGCTGCCCATAGAAAGAAAAGAAAAGAAGCAAGGAAGGAAGGAAGGAAAAAAAAAAAAAGAGGGAAAAGAAAAGAAGCAAGAAGGAAAAAAAAAAAATCCCTGGTATTGGGGCTTGAACTCAGGGCTTCATGATTGGCAGGTCGGTACTCTACCACTTGAGCCACGCCTCCAGTTCTTTTTTTGCTTTGGTTCTTTTTCAGATAGGAGCTCAAGTTTTTGCCCTGGGTCACCACCCTCCTGTTCATGCCTCTTGCATAGCTAGATGAGAGGCATGCACCACCACTCCAACCTGTTTATTGAGAGAGAATTCAAACAAGACATGAAAATGTAGTAAAGTTTGTTGAAGGTGAAAAGAAGTCACTGCAAGGAAAAGCAGTGGTAGGCCCTGGTCAGGCGGAATAGAAGTGCAAGTGACATTCTTTGTTTCAGAAGGCCTTTTTCAATTGAAAGGGCAAAGAGCAGGAAAACTCTGGGCATCTTTGTAGGATGGGCTGTGGTGATTGGCAGGTTTGATCGACAAGGTCTTGTTACTCATGGGACACTCTGAGCATGCACTCATGCTGATTCTCAGGTATTTTAATTGCATATATTAGGTGCGATCAATATTGGTGTTATAAGCAGAGGCTTTTACCTGAGAGGTAATCAAGGGCGGAATTTCCTCAAAGCTTCCTGTCTTACAACTGTAAAGAATTTACAATTGAAATTTACAACTGCAAAAGACAGCATTGGCTGAGATAAGGAGTTCAGCATGAAATGTGCCGGGAAAAGTCTCAAAATCTATATTGCTAGCCTGCCCCAGTGGAGTCTCGCTAACTTATTATGTACATATTTTAAGCAGATTGCATTTAGTTTAGGGAGCAGCCAGAAAGAGAGGAATTATGGCACCTCTTTGCAGGGGGCTCAGAGACTTCTGGACACAGCACCCCTGAAGGAGGGAAGGATGGGACAATGAGCTGACTTGGTGCAGCCCTCAGTGGTCTGGGGAAGGCCCTTGTTGAATATGGCATGGTGGCTGCTCAGACTCAGTTCCACCAGAGGGGTCTGAGTCCTGTGGGTTTTGGAAGCAATGGGCAACTGTACCTCTGGCTTGGGTGTCTGATGGCAGGAGATGAACTAGGAGGACTGGTATTCATCCAGGGCTCAGGGCTAGAGAAGGAGGAGTGTCTTACAGGGGACAGCTTAAGAGCTCAGGCCAGGTCTCCCCCAGATTCTGGGTCATGGGGCTGGGAATTTGCATGGCAGGTGGGCTTGGTGAGCAGGTGACATTTACACCATCACTGTTCCAGTGGTGTCACTGTCCTCCTAGATGGGCAGGTGTTGAGGAAGCAGATGTTTGTGTGGCTGTAAGAGGGTACATGAGTGGTTAGTGGTTATCTTTGGAGAGAGGAGTCATAGGTGCTTTTAAATGTCTTCATACTTTGACCTTTTTGAAAATTTTGAACTGCTTCAATCATGTGCCACTTAGAAGTTTGAACAAAGTACGGATGTCCCTCCACTTATGATGGGGTCATATCCGGATAAACCCATCGTGGGTTGAGAATATGGTCAGTTGTAAATGCATTTAGTACACCTAACTTACAGAACACCAGTGCTGGGCCCACCATGCTTGCATTAGCCCATAGCTGGGCAAAACCATCTGACACTAAGCCTGTTTATAATACCCGAGTCCATGAGCACGGGTACTTGTGGACTTTCTGAATACTGTACTGAAAGGGAAATGACTGTGGGGTGTGCCTTTGCACCATCATAAAGAGGAAAAATCCTAAATGCCTCGTGGTAAGTTGACTGCACAGCCCAGAGCGGCCGGAGCAGAGGCCTGCGAGCATGCGCACAAGGTGGGGATGCAATTCTGTAGTAACATCAGTGAGCTTCTCGAGGTTCTGGGATCAAGTAGGCCCACAGGCCCAACACAAAGCCAGGGTCCCCTGTATTTCTGGCAGGAAGGCCTGGCACACAGGCTGTCCAGCGGCAGCTCCGGGGAGGGGATGTGCAATGGGGGGGGGTGAGGTCTCTGCCCAGGAGCCCTCCCTAAAGGCTTCTGCTCCCTGGGGACTGGGCAGGGGTAGGCTTGGAAGGGGACCCGAGGGACCACGGAGCCTCCCAGCACTGCCTGTCCTCTGTAGCCCGCTGCCCTCCGCCCAGGCTGCCCCCCACCGCTGACTGTGCTTCTCCCGCCAGCCACCCGTGGGACACGGTGATCAAGGCAGCTATGCGCAAGTACCCGAATCCGATGAACCCGTGTGTGGTCGGCGTGGACGTGCTGGAGCGCGGCGTGGACAGCCGTGGGCGCCTGCACAGCCTGCGGCTGCTCAGCACCGAGTGGGGGCTGCCCGGCCTGCGCGAGCGGTGAGCTCCCCGCGCCCCGCGCTGCCCATCTGCCTCCCCAGGCGGCGGGAGGTGTGCGGGCTGCACGGCGAGATGCCACACAGCACAGGGCGCACGTGCGGGATCCAGGCGCCTGGGCGGCTTCCTCCGCGGCCCCTCCTGCTGGCGCCTCCCTGATCATCAGGTGGCCTTCTCTGCTGTTCTTGCGAGGACACCAGTCATCCCGGATTGGGGCCACCCGGATGATTACCTCAGCCACCCTTCCAAGGCCCACAGTCTAGTTCCAAGAAGTGCATGGGGCCCAGGCTTCTACACATGACTTGAGGACTCAGTTCAGCCCTAGCAGCTCTTTTCCAGAGCCCCTGGGAGGTCGATAAAAATGTCAATCTGAGGACACCAGCTCTTGCCCAGGTGGCAACCCCAGCTTCCCCACTACTAGAGTCCAGGTCCTTTCATGGCCCCAGGTCTCACCTGTTCCCTGTGGGTGGCCCCTCGCTGTGTTCCTCTCACACAGGCCCCTGGGGGCCCTGACGTCCCTGCAGCCTGAAGCACACTGAAACTCACCCAGAGGCCTCCCCACAGAGGGGCTTCCCTGCCCACTCCCGCCCCCATCTTATTTTTGTCGAAGCATTGTTACTGCCATATCCTCAATTCTGAATTCACTAATGAACTGGGCCTCAGGGTTTTGTCTCTTTTGTCCACTGGTGTCCCCACTGTAGCATTTGTTGAGTAAATAATGAATTAATGAGTATGTAGGATTTTTAGCATGTTATCATGCTACTTTTGTTTTTTAGATTTTGGGAACCAGTAGGACTTTGACGTACATCAAAGAGCGCTCCGTGGTGGATCCAGCCGAAAAGAAAATGGAACTTTGTTCCACCAATGTAAGCAATGGCCTAAGATGAAAAAGGTGCTTAATATTTCTTGGTGATGGTGTCATAATGCCTTTGTTTAGTTTTATTTCCAGCCTGCCTTGGTCCAAGTGATTGTTTATTTTTAGTAGGAAGGGTGGATTTATTTAGCAGTCTTACTTGTTTTTTTTTTAAACTCAGGTGTAATAAATATATAGAAAAATGCACATGTCCAGCCCTGGTGTGCTGCTGTACAACTGGGTAGCTGTAGATAACTAGTGTTTTATATATTTAAAGAGCTAAAAGAAAGGAATCTGGTAAATATTTGTGGAGATAGATATGTTTACCCTGATTTGAACATTACACCATGTATATATGTATTGGCTTGTAGTGACAAACCCCATAAATATGTATTCATGTGTCAATTTAAAAAACAGGAAGGAGCCGGATGCTGGTGGTGCATGCCTGTAATCTTAGCTATTCGGGAGGCAGAGATCAGAAGGAGGATCGCAGTTTGAAGCCAACCTGGGCAAATAGTTCTGTGAGACCCTATCTTGAAAAAATCCACCATAAAAAAACAAAAACAAAAAACAGCTGGTGGAGTGGCTGAAGGTGAAGGCCCCAAGTTCAAACCCCAGAACCACACACACACACAAAAACCCCCAAAAAACAGGGAAGGAAACTAACAAAAAAGCACTCCATGATGACTTGTCACAAGGTAATGTAACCAGTAGGTAGATCAAGCACAGACTGTCTGGCTCCCAGCAAACACGGTCCAGAATCCTGACAGCAAAGATGACTGTCAATGTTTTTCTTTAGACAGGGGTCTCACTAGGCTAACCTGAGTTCAGGTGATCCTCCTACCTCAGTCTCCTGGGACCCAGCACTTCAGCCTGGACTACAGATGGGTGCCACCATACCCAGCCTGTGATCATTTTAACAGCCATGTTTTCCCTTCATTCTTCTTTCATTTATCTCAATTAAAAAACGTATATAGGACTGGGGGTATAAAAAAAAAAAAGGAGTATATTCAAAGAGCACATTCAGAAAAATGAATGGACTAGAAAAATGGATTTTTTTTGTTTTTGTACTGGGGATAAACTGAGGGCCTTGCATGGGTGAGGCAAGCGCTCTACCACTGGCCTACACGCCCAGCTTCTTGGGAAGTGGTTGATTTTATAAAATATTGCTTATTTTCAGCAAGCATAGAATGGGCTGCTCTAATGAAGTGGTAACACGGTATCTGTACATGGAGTTGTCCTTCCTCACAGGCCCCTCTTTTCTGCTCACTTTGCTCCCCCTACACCATGGCAGTGGTTCAACTCATCGTTCATTTATTGGTTCTAACAACAATGTCTGGTGCCTACCATGTGTAGGCACTATGCTCAGGTCGGGAGGGCAAGGATTAAGTGATGCTTTGTGTGTGTATGTGTGTGTGTATACTGGGTTTGAACTTAGGGCCTCACATTTGCTAGGCAGGCATTCTACCACTTGAGCCACTCCGCCAGTCCTAAAAGATGCTCTTGCCCTCACTGGTGTGTCATATCCTGGAAGGATGTCAAACCCTGCTGGTGAGGCATGTAAACCTGAGGGTGGTGGAGGAGGACAACCATCGCTGGATGTCAGTGTGACTACAGATGTGTTATTTATGTTTTCTGAGTCTCACATTTCTCTTATAAAAGAAGAAAGGACAAGTCTCATAGGATTGTTTGGGCTTAATGAAGGGAAATAAAGTTTAAAAAATAAAGAGATGACATAGAACTATTGCACATAGAATTATAATAACAGCAAATCCGACTTTGTTAGTAGATGTTGAATTTTTTGTTGTTTTTTAAGTGTTTGGGGGTTGAACCTAGCACGTTCTAAGCAAGTGCTCCACTCCTGCTCCACCCTCAGCCTTAATGAAATGCTTGATAACTCTGTGCTCAGTAGGATGAAAGAGATTTCTCACTAACCACTTTTATGAGGATGGTGACGCCAGGGCAGATTTTTGGTGAGAGATTATTAAATGAGCAAGAGTGTGTATCACTGCTGACCTTGCTTTTGACTAAACTTTAAAAACATATGGCCCGGTATTGGAGTTGATTCTGAGAAGAGGGCAAACCCAGGTTAAACAATAATACAGTTCTAAGATTCCTTGTCCAGTGTGGTAGCCACCAGCCGTGTATGGCCATTTACATTTAAATTAATTAGGATTAAATAGAATGTAAACAGTCCCATTCCTCAGTCATTCTGTCTGCATCCCAGTCAGCACAGATGTAGGACATGCTATTATTACAGACAATTCTGCTCCCAGTGCTGTTCTGAAGCTCTGGTTTTTAAGTAGTTTTAGTACGAAATGAAATGGAAACAAGAAGTTAGAGCCCAGCATTGGTGGCTCATGCCTATAATCCTAGCTACTCTGGAGACAGAGATCAGGAGGATAATGGTTCAAAACCAGCCAGGGGCAAATAGTTCTTGAGACCCTATCTTGAAAATACATAACACAAAACAGGGCTAGTGGAGAGGCTCAAGTGGTAGAGCGCCTGCCCAGCAAGTGTGAGGCCCTGAGTTCAAACCCCAGTGCTGCCAAAAGAAAAGTTAAGATTGTTTAGAGGCGAGGGCACTTGAGGGAACACTGCCTCCAAGTCCGTGGTCCCGGAGGGACAGCTAAGTGTGGGGTCCTAGGACACGGTGCGTTGTAAGGCCTCCTGTGCACTGACTCCGAGAAGTGCTCATTGGGAATGGAAGAAGCTGGGGTGTAGGCCAGCGGTAGAGCGCTTGCCTCGCCCATGCAAGGCCCTCAGTTTATCCCCAGTACAAAAACAAAAAAAAATGGTAGCGGGTTTGGGAAGAAATTCAAGAGAAATAGACCCTAAAGGCAGTGTTTCTTTTTAAAGATCACACTTGCGAATTTGGTGTCAGTGAACGAGAGGTTGGTGTACACACCTCATCCTGAGAACCCCGAAAAGTGAGTTGTCATATGGGACAGCGAGGGTGAGGGCGGACTGGGGCCTCCTCTCTCAGGGCTGGGCAGCCCTTTGTGTTTGCTTGCACCAAGCCTACCATGCCGGGGCCCTTTGATGCCATACTTGCGCTGGTTACACTCCAGGCTCACCCCATACCTTCCCCGCAGATCCTGGCCAGCCTTTTTTTTTTCTTTTATTCACATGTGCATACAATGTTTGGGTCATTTCTCCCCCTTTCCCCTGTCCCCTTCCTAACCCCTCCATCCCCTCCCTCTCCCCCCTAACTCCTACCTCTTCTGCAGGACGGTGCTCACCCAGGAAGCCGTCATCACGGTGAAGGGGATCAGCCTCGGGAGCTATCTGGAAAGCCTTATGGCCAACACGATATCATCCAATGCAAAGAAGGTGTGCACCTCAGCACCAAGGGGCCTGTGTGTGCTCTGCAGGAGAAGTGGGTGCCATGTTTGGTCCCCTAGGTCTCCTGAGAACTGGATCTCTCTGCAGCTGAGCTCCTAATGCCACAGCATTTCCATGGTTCTTTTCCTAACTGGTGGGGTGGAAAGGCTGGCTGAGGGGAAGGTGTAGGGTGAACCTGGAGTGTAACCAGCACAAGTATGGCATCAAAGGGCCCCTGCATGGTAGGCTCAGGGCAAGCAAACACAACATGGAAAGATGATGCGTACCACCATGGTCAGGCAAGGCGTTAGGAGCTGTAGGCCACCAGTTCAGCGCCTCCCTGGAGTTGGCTGTCAATGTCGAATCTCCCCTCTGGCAGGATTTAGGAGTGAGCTTGGTGGAAGTGAGAGGAGAGAAGTGGATCTCCCTTTAGGGTGGAGGCACAGAGTGCTTAGGGCATCCAGGGCACCATCCCCTCCAGCAGAGTGGGGAAAAGAGCTTGGATGTCTGGAACGAGGATGTTCCTCAAATTTAAGGTGAATCTGGTGGCCAGAGCAGAGCCTTGGCTTTTTACACCAGCCCTTAGGGCTGCCCTGGTCCATACTCTCCCTCCCTCCCTCCAGTTTTCCGTCTTCATTTTCCAGACAGTTGGGTGATACCCAGGGCTGTCCTACCCTTCTTCCAGTGCTTGAGTCATCAATTAGTAGAAAACTCACTGTGGCTTTAGCCTGGTCACAAATTAAAGGGCCAGTCTACTCAGTGTTTTAAAAGACAAATCCAGATTTGAGAAGTATAGGCACTAGCTTTACTTAGCTCCAGGGAGGCCAACAAGGCAATAAGGGCCCAATGGGCCAAGCTTGTCCACATGGAAACTCCTGGAGCAGGAGATGGAATCTTTCTTGTCATTTTTCAAGTGCCTACTTTAGGGCAGGAGCACTAAGTGTTTCCTGGAACAAAATACTATAGGAGGCCAGAGGCTAAGGCCACTGTGGAGTTTTTATGGAAAAAAAAAGGGGCTAAACTCACTTGGAGTCATGTTGACTTCTTTTATTTCACTTCAGGAGGGGCTGAAGGCCTGAGATGGAATCACTTGCCAGAGACGGCAAGAGGAGCCTTCTTTGTATTTTGGGAGGTCTTGGATGAGGACTTGCCATGCTAGCTAAGAGGGCTGCCAGTGCTGGGACAGGCTCGGTGTTACGTTCATTTGCTTACACAGCAGAGAATCTCAGGCACTGGAAATACGGTACCTTACTTCTGAGCTGGAGGGACTGCCTGCTTGTGTGGAAGATGGCACGGAGAGGTCACTGCAAGTGTCTTTACCACTGCAGTGCTCCCCTCCTGGAGTCTAAACTGCAGGCTCATGGCTTGCTCTGTGCAGTGATGGGTAGAACACCCCACAGTACTGGCCTCCTTCTGTGCCGTTGCAGGGATGGGCTGCCGTCGAGTGGGTTATCGAACATTCCGAGAGCGCTGTAAGCTAACGGTCGGCTCGTGTGCCCTGGCGTGCATGGCAGTAACGACGGTACTCCTTCACCTGGTTAGACTACTGGTGTTTTCCTAACAGTGCGTGGGGTGCTGTGGTGACAGGATTCTCACCGTGGGGCTGCCTGTTTGTCTCCAGCCCCGTGCTGCTGAGCGTTCCTTGGTTCATGGCAGGACCCTCTCAGGGAACACTTGAGCTGTTGTCCCTGATGTCCCAAGAAGGTAGTGTAGCATGTGGTGCCAGAGGACCTGAGCACTTGGCTGCCTAAACACCCCTGGGGACTGTGCCCAGCTGGGAAGGGAGCTTTCATGGGTCCGTCCAGGCAGTGTTAGAGGCTGATCTGATGGGTTTTTTTTTTTTCATTTGGGGTAAAATTTGCACATTTCCTTCCTTCCCTCCCACCCTTCCTGTTAGGATCCCTGTTAGGTGGCTGAGCTGTGCTTCCCACCATCTGTCTGTCCTTTTGTCCCCAGCAATGGCTGTGGGGCCCTAAGTGTCTTGCTGACTTTGTCTGTCACGGAGGCTTGCCAGACACCTTCACCTTGAATCCAAGGTCCAGGCCTGCCATGGGGTTTTCCCTTTCATGACTTCATTGAGCATGAGCAGGGAGCTTGCTGGGTTGTGGGGTGGGTGTGTGCGTGCGCATGTGTGTGTGTGTGTGCGGTGATGGCGGGGGGGGGGGAGAGAGAGAGAGAGAGACACAGAGGTGTCACCTGATGTGAGTCATAGGCTCCTCAGGATTTGTTTCCTCATAAACCAGAGCTAATACCTCCATCTTTAATTAGATACCTCACCAACATTTAAAAAAAAAATCAAAGAAGAAAAGAAGGATGGAGAAAGAAAAGAAAGACAAGTCTGGATGTGAATCCACGCAGTCTGGGAGAGTCCTCCCACACAGCACAGCTGCCTCCAGGCCCAGGTCTGCGGGGAGCGGAGCTGAAAGATGTCCCCCAACCCCCAGAGGGACTGTGAGGCTGGATGCCCCTCTGACCCTGGGGCCTGGCCCAGCCCTGCTGCCAGCTCTCGGAGGCTCGCTGGAGGAGACCGCGCCTGCACTCCCCGTGGAGGACGTCACCTGCTCTCTTCTGCCCTGGGGTCCTCTGCCGGGCAGCTCCGCTCAGAAGTCACTTCATACTGACATGCCCCACAGGAGCCAGGGTTCATGGGGCCAAGAGACTTTGTCAGCCCCCAAGTATCCTTTCTATAGATAGGGTGGTTTGGCTTCTGACAAGACTTGTGCATCTCTTAGGGAGAGGGGTGGGGACCGGGTCCTTCCAGCCCCCTTCAGCTTGTCCCCTTCCCTGCCCTGCAGATACCTGGTACCAGAGACACAGGCTGGATGGGCTCTGCATGGTGGCCTCATCATGAGGTCAGGTAGGAGTGCCTGGCCTCTGTATCTGCCTGATTTTTCCTCCCTGAGACTTATGGGCATTTTGAGGACAGGGACTAAAGGCTTTTACTCCATCTTTAAAGCAAAGTTGTTTAAAACAACATTAATTTTTAAAAATATATGAATGCAATCCATGTTTATGGTTTAAGAAAAGTTTAGCCAGGCGCTGGTGTCTGACACCTATAATCCTAGCTACTTGAGAGGCTAAGATTGTGAGGATTGTGGCTTGAGGCCAACCTGAGCACATAGTTCAGGAGACCCCATCTCTAAAATAACCAGAACAACATGGGCTGGAGGTGTGGCTCAAGTGGTAAGAGTGCAGGCACTAAGCCCTGAGTTCAAATCCCAGTCCTACCAAAAATAAAAAAAAAAAATAATAAAAAGAAAGGTATGGGATTTGGTTGAACAGTAAAGGCCTCCACTCTTGTGCCCGCTGACTTCCCACTGTCACAGAACCTTCCAGAAATCTGCATTTTTTTCTTTTCCTTCTTTCATTAAACACAGGTAGGGTCACACCACATACACTGTGTTCTGGTTATATTTTTTTCTACTTCTAAACAATAATCTCTTAAAATGTCCCCCTTGGGTTGAAGATTCCCTGCTGAAGCCTTAATTCCCTGGAGGCACTGAGGGTTTCTTGCCCAGGTTTCCTAAGTTGAGAAGTAGTCTCTACTGCACCCTAATAAGGCGGGGTAGGGGGGGGGGACACAGCCGGGTAGGGGATGGGGCAGGGACAGCCAGGGCACCCTGCTCCATATAGCACTGTCTCCTAGATGTTGTCCCTACTCTGTTCCGCTTGCCTTAGGATGGCTCTGTCACTTCAGTCACGTGATTCTGTTCTAGAGGGAAACAGGAATCTGGTTTTGGAAACAACGTTCTAATGCAGGGATAGTGCAGAGGGTAGCTTCTCTCCCATCTTCTGCTAGGCCAAGGCACGCAGATATCCCCAGGTATTTGTAGAGGAAGGTTGCAGTTTTAGGGCAAGGACAGTTGTAAATATCAGTCACCAGCTGTTTCAAATTTTTGATGGCCTAGTTAATGTAAAAATAAGCACTGAGGCAGGGTGTGAGGTGCCTATAATCACAACTATGCAGCAGATAAAGGTAGGTGGATCATCTTTTGCGACCTTCCCTGGGCCAAAAAGGAGAGAGAGACCCTATCGAAAAATCACTAAAGTAAAAACAGGCCGGGGGACATGGCTTAAATGATAAGAGCACCCAGGCTCAAAGCCTTGAATTCAAATCCCATTCCCCCTACCCCCAGCAAAATGAAAAAACAAAAACCCCTGAATGCACGGGGTGTCCTGGGTGTCTTTTTCTGCTGTCTATTCCCTTATAAGCAATTTTTTTTCTTGAAGTAGTCACTAAGCTAAGGTAGTGGTGATTGTTTTGAATATTTGTTTAGGATAAAGTTGTTTGGCTTTGTAACTTCTGTTTTGGTTGCATGTGGATTTAATATTTATTTCTCCAACCCTCTCTACTTGGAATTCATCAGCACAAAAGTAAATGTTTTATGATACAGTGTTGGGGCAGTAGTATAACCTTGACTTCTAAGCTGAGAAATAGTCAGAGGTCAGCTGTAAGAATACAGTGCTATTTCATGACCCGACCTGCTGTATTAGTGTGTACGATGTATGATGGGGACTTGGGAGAAACATCTTCAGGGCAGCTTCGTGTCTTGAGGTGCTCCAGGAAAGAAGTTCTATAAGAAGAAAAAGAGTAACTGGACAAACAGACTAGAAGCCTAGTGGGACGTGATACCATAATGTTAGAATACGGCATGTGAGTGAGGTCCCTTCATCTGGTCACCTTGGGAGGTGACTCAGTGCTGTTCTGTAGGCAGGGTTGAGAGGCGTTGGAGTGGGTACCTAGGCACCTACATGTGGACTTGGAGGGCTTGTCGCCTGCAGCCTGTGGGAGCACCTGGGACCTGTAGGTGCCCTACAGGGAACAGAGGCTGGAGCTTGGCCCAGTCTTGTGGCAGCACTGTCCACACCTGCACCTAGGGGACAGGGCACCCATGTTTGGTGTCAGTAAACCACCTAGAGACATTTGGGAAAGGGCAGAAGGCTGGCAGTGAGTGTACTGCTTAGCTTATTTCTTGCTTGTTTTTCTTTTTTGGTGGATAGAAAGATGGTGTTTGTTTACTCAACAGCTGGAAGCTGATTTACCTTCCCAAGTTATCCGTTCCGAGGAGTTCAGGATAGCCTATCTTGGATAGCACCCAGGATCCCACCACTTTCTTTAGTTTCTCACGCTCTGTCCTGTCACTGGTAGTTAGGCAGGAGTGAGTTAAGCACACTGGAGACCGTGTCCCCTCCTGCTTGGATGGTGCTCAGGACAAAGTGCCTTTTCTCTCCTGCAAGCTGGGTTTCCCCAACTATGTCAGCCCAGAGCAGTGCTCGCCCACAGTCTGCGTGGGCCGAGCTGCTCTGCAGAGGTGGCTGGAGCTGTAGATTTCTTGCAGGGAAAGCAATGGCACTGAATATTGTTTGAAGACTTCCCCGCCCACTTGGCACTGGAACCAGTTATTAAACGGTCTGGTTTGAGCCAGCCACCTTTTGGCTTGCTTTGGTGCTTCTGCCCTGAAAGTCACAATGGGGAAAAGTGGCACACACCCTACAGGGTTAGCTGCTGGTGTCTCCTCTAGGAAACCTTAGGGCTCAGTATATTAAGAAAATGCTTTTTCTTTCCCCTTCTGTCCTTTCCTTCCCTCCCTCCCTTCCTTTTCTTTCCTGTGTGTGCTGGGGATCAAAGTCAGGGCCTGGTGGATACTAAGTGCACACACTGCCACTGAGCTGCTCCCAACCCCCAGCCAAGAAGACATCTTCACAGGCCTTGTTACACCAGCAGTGGCCCCAACAGAGCCTGGACTGTTCTTGGGACATCAGGAAGCTAAGGAGAGGTGCCCTGAGGAGCCAATCATCTGCAAACTTGGACAGGTCATGTGACTGCTGAGCCTCGGTTTCCTCATCTATGAAATGTGGACAGGAGCACCACCTCAGAGCGATGGGCATGAACTGGAGGAGATGGAGAGGCTTGGCGTTGGCATTGTGAGCGCCTGCTGTGCGGTGCTGGTGCTGCCCAGGTGCACGAACGTGGCACCACGGGGGATGGTGGTGGAGCATACTTTTATAGGAGGGCATTTCTAAGTTGGGTAACTTTTTAGCAAGAGTTAACCGTCAACTGCAAAGCCATCAGGTAATGAGCGAGTCAGAAGTCACTGAGTACTCCCCCAGAACTGACCTGGGCTTCCAGCCTTAGCTTCAAGTTCTGCGCTGGTTTTCAGAGGTCTCGGGACAGTTGCAGTGCATCCTGTGAGCTGAGAACGGTGTTGGTATTTTGAAAAGGTTATTAATAGCAGGGATATGTGACAGAGACCTGTGACAGGCCTGAAGTACTTTCTGTTTGGTCCTTACAGAAAACACTCACAAGAATCCAGCTGTGTCCCTGAGTAAACATAAATGAAACCAAATTGTTTCCCTCCATCAAACGGCTTTCTTTTCCCCACTTCTAATCACCCCTCCTCCAATTCCAAATACAAAACCTGCATTGCTGAAGACTCTTCTGCTTCTCTGTAGCCATTTGGACACCCAGTGTTCTGTCTTCTTACTCCCACTGTCCTGCTCTGCACTGGGTGCTTATTGCCTGCGGAAGC